GTGCAGAATGCGGCACCAACAGTCATATTTCAGCCCTTCATCCTGGTCCAGCAGTTTGGGCAACAACACCATCACCAGCTGTAAAGCAGCCAGTTCACGGCGGGGAGCAAGATCAAGCATCACCCACTGCTACCTCTACCTGTACACAAGTGTGTGGAAGTGAAATTGAAAGCCATTCTTGCGCCAAAATCTGTCCAGTGTTCATCTATCCAAAGGGGTCTCCTGAGAAGAAGCTGAAAACATATGCAATTTTGGATGACCAAAGTAACAGGTCCCTTGCCAGATCTTCAGTCTTCGATGCCTTCAATATTGCAAGGAGATCTTATCCTTACATGCTAAAGACTTGTGCAGGAACGGAAGAAGTAATGGGGAGAAGAGCTCACAACTTCATTGTGGAATCAGTGGATTGCCAGTCACAACTGTCGCTAGAGACGCTTATTGAGTGTGATTCGCTCCCAGACAACCGGAATGAGATTCCAACGCCTGAAACTGCTCAACACCACTCCCACCTACAGGACATAGCTGCAGAAATTCCCAGGCTGGATCCAGACGCTAGCATTTCTCTTCTCATAGGGAGAGATGTTGTCCAAGCACATAAGGTCATTGACCAACGTAATGGACCTTTAAATGCCCCGTTCGCTCAGAAGCTAGCTCTTGGATGGGTCATAGTTGGGGATGTTTGCCTCGGTGGGGCGCACAAACCCGACTATGCAAGTGTCTTCAAAACCAATTTTCTGGATAATGGTCGGCCCAGTCGCTTTCTACCGTGTAAGAATGCCATTCAGGTGGCCGAAGGCTTCGATTCCCCGGTTCCTCAAGGGGTCAGTTTCTGCACTTCTACAAAGACAAAATGGTCAGACGTCACAGACATTGGAGAAACGATCTTTCAACAAACAAGCTCAGATGAAAAACCTGGCTTCTCACAAGAAGAAAGAATCTTTCTTGAGATAATGAACAAGGCAGTCTTCCAAGATAGTTCAAATAGTTGGGTCGCTCCACTACCCTTTCGTTCCCCTAGGCCATGCCTTCCCAACAACAGGCAGCAGGCTCTACAGCGCCTTACTTCTGTTCGCCATATTCTGAATAAACGTCCTAAAATGAAAGAACACTTTCTACAATTTATGCAAACCATACTTGATAACGGCCATGCAGAATTGGCACCTCCTCTCAAAGAACAGGAGGAGTGTTGGTATCTCCCTTTCTTTGGAGTTTATCATCCTCGCAAGTTAGACCAGATTAGGATTGTGTTTGACTCCAGTGCACGTCATGATGGATTGTCGCTCAATGACGTCCTTCTTACAGGCCCTAATCTTAACAACAGTCTCTTAGGTGTTTTAATGCGTTTCAGAGAAGAAAAGTGGCCGTGACTGCTGATATTAAGCAGATGTTCCATTGCTTTTTGGTCAAAGAGGACCATCGGAACTTCTTACGATTTCTTTGGCATGAAAACAATGACATGGAACAACCAATTGTGGAATATCGCATGACTGTTCATGTTTTTGGCAACAGTCCGTCTCCTGCAGTTGCAACCTATGGGCTTCGTTGCGCATCAGAAGACCAGGAGAAACAGGACAACACAACAAGACATTTTGTGGAACGTCACTTCTATGTTGATGATGGCCTTGCTTCCTTCTCATCGAGTGATGAGGCAATCTCTATTGTCAAAAATGCTCAACAAACATTGGCCACATCCAATTTAAAGTTGCACAAGATTGCTTCTAATGATGTTAACGTGATGAAAGCATTCGCAAAGGAGGACCTGGCAAAGGGTCTTAAAGATCTCAACCTTGGAGCAGACCCTCCACCAATGCAAAGCAGCCTTGGAATAAGTTGGGACATCAACACTGACGAGTTTACCTTTCAAGTCTCGAATGAAGAGAAACCTTATACACGCAGAGGAGTGTTGTCGACTGTAAACAGTCTATACGATCCGCTTGGATTTGCAGCCCCAGTGAGTATTCAAGGTAGAGCTCTTCTAAGAGAGCTTTCAACTGAAACCATCAACTGGACGACCCACTTCCAGAGGAAACTACAAGAATGGAATGCATGGAGGAACTCTCTGAAACATCTTGAACAAGTGAGGATTCCCAGAAAGTACACCTCCCTTTCCTTTTATAATGCAACAAACAGAGAATTGTGCATATTCTGTGATGCTTCTACTAAGGCAATGCCGCCGTGGCTTATGTCAAGATTTCAGATGCAAAAGGCAAAAGTGAACTTGGTTTCATGTTTGGCAAAGCAAAGCTTGCCCCACAAAAAGAAGTTACCATCCCTAGGTTGGAACTTTGTGCAGCTGTCCTTGCCATTGAGATTTCTGACATGATATCTGAGGAGATTGATGTTCCCTTCCACTCAACAAAGTTCTTTACTGACAGCAAGGTAGTCCTTGGCTACATTCAGAATGAGTCTAGGAGATTCTATGTTTATGTCTGTAACCGGGTGCAAAGAATAAGGAAGTCATCCAATCCAGAACAATGGAACTACATTCCTACGGAGTTGAATCCGGCTGATATAGCTTCAAGATCCATCCCAGCTAAAGCCTTGGAGAACAGCAAGTGGATCACAGGACCAGATTTTCTGCTGAGGCAAAGTAAGCACACTGAACAAACTGAAGTCTCTTTCAACCTAGTCGACCCTGAATCCGACCCAGAGATTCGTCCTACAGTAACTTGCTGTCTAACAGTACTAACAAACTCTTTCATAGACCCAAGTCATTTCGAGTCATTTTCATCATGGAAGTCACTGTTGAGGGCCATAGCTAGACTGGTTCACATAGTCAGACTGTACAGGAAAGAGAATCAAACAAGCAAATGTCAAGGTTGGCATATGTGCAAGAATCTGAGCCCAGATGACTTTCTAACAGCAAAGCGTGTCATTCTGAGCAGCCTTCAACGCAAGAGTTATCCTGAATTATTTACATGTATCAGAGATCAGAAGGAGATCCCTAAACATAGTCATCTCAGGAAACTGTCACCCTACATTGATGACTCAGGTTGCGTCAGAGTAGGAGGTCGTCTTGCACAAGCTAATCTCCAAAGTGATGAAGCAAACCCATATATCATTCCAAGTCATCATCATCTAACGACCCTTCTGGTACGTCATATCATCAACGTGTTCAGCATCAAGGACTCTATTTACAGAAGGCGCTCTAAGGTCAGCTGGCCTTTGGATCATTGGTGGAAAACGATGCATCAGCTCGATTATTTACCACTGTGTAATCTGCCGTAAATTGAGGCGGAATGTGGAAGAACAAAAGATGGCAGACCTGCCAATGGATCGTACCGCAGTTGCTCCTCCATTCACCTATGTCGGAGTCGATGTCTTTGGACCCTGGATTGTGACCTCTCGGCGAACACGGGGAGGCTGCGCAAACAGTAAACGCTGGGCTGTCATCTTCAGTTGTTTGAGTACGAGGGCCATCATGTCGAGGTGATGGAATCTATGGAGTCCTCAAGCTTCATCAATGCCTTTCGCAGATTCATTTCCATTCGTGGACCGGTGAAGCAACTGAGATCCGACTGTGGAACTAACTTCCTTGGAGCATGCAAGGAACTTGGCATAACTCCAACACACTGCAACAATCAAGCGATTCAGAGTTTCTTAAATGAAAATGAGTGTTCATGGATTTTTAATCCACCTCATGCTTCGCATATGGGAGGAAGTTGGGAGCGCATGATCGGCATCACAAAGCGCATACTAGATTCCATGATGTCAGGTACTCCAGCTCAGCATCTCACCCATGAAGTGCTAGTTTACCTTTCTAGCTGAGGTAACTGCTATTGTGAACTCCCGACCTTTAACTCCAGTCTCTTCCGATCCTGATTGTCCCTTTATTCTTACACCTGCTACACTCCTGACCAAAACTGGGGATTCTCAGTACCTCCTGGAGACTATCAGGGTGGAAATCTTTACAGACGTCAGTGGAGGCAGGTGCAACATCTTTCCAATGTTTTTTGGCATCGTTGGAGGAGTCAATACTTACCTACCCTGCAACCGCGACGAAAGTGGCAATCAGAGAAGCCTGATCTTCAAGTTGGAGACCTTGTGCTTTTAAAGGACTGTCAAGCCAAGAGGAACCAGTGGCCCATGGGTATTGTGGTTAATACCTTTCCTAGTCAAGATGGCCATGTTAGAAAGCTTGAAGTTAGAATCTGTTCTGGAAGTTCATGTAAAGCCTTTTTGAGGCCAGTTACTGGAGTTGTTCTCCTGCTGAAAAACACCTGTGACAGAAGTTAGTTATAAGGTGAATCTTACAATGTCAGGCGGGAGTGTGCTGGCAGTAATTCTTCCCAGCCAGCAGATGGTGGTGTTTCCATGTTGAGTTTTGTTTTGATCAGTAGAATGAGTTCAGAAACACATGTATGATGACTGACGCCAGCAGTTTATCGTCTTCATAATCATTCTTCATCCTGTTTTGTTGTTTACAGAAGCACTGCTTGTAAGTACTTGTGTTCCTTTATTACTTCTGAGAGAATATTGAGCTGAATTTGCAGGCCTTTATGTTGAAAAAGATTGATGTTTGTAAGGTTGATTGTCACATGTTATTTACACAGTATTAAGTATTTGCATCCTTACTATTTGTATGACTTGACTACTGTTGTATTCTAAATTGTGTTTTTTCATCTTTATTTGTAGTTTCACTCTTTTGGCATTGAAAGCAACGTCAATTAAAGTGACATACGCCTGTCAACCGTCTCAGAGTTTATCTATCTGCACAACTGTTACTTGGAAACACAGTGGGAGCAGAACAATTACTATTATTATGATTATAACAAAGAATCTCATTACGTGTACATTTCTACATGTGACCACAAAAAGAAAGGAGGCTTGTTATCTATGTTATTTTATTTTTTCTTAAATACTTGGGAGATCATTTGATAAGAAATATGTCAAATAGTCGCCAAACAGTTACATCTTAAACAGAGCGATTTTCTGACAACACAAACAAATAGGACAGTTTCAGACAGGAAGTGATGTCCAGGAAGTAAAACATGGAAAGCGCCTCGACCCTCTTTCTTCTACTGCATGACATGTTTAAGATGGACGTAAGATAACAAACAGAAAACTTCATCTTACACGTTCAACGCGTAGTTTATTCAACACCCCCAATATAGCGTGCATCCCGTATCTAAACAACATTCCCATCGTGTTTGCTTCACCGCTGAAACTCGTCTCCGCTTGCTGTTTATGAAATGAGTGACGGCCCCGGGACAGGACTCACCTGTTGGTTACAGTTTCCACCAGTCAAAAGAGTTCACACTGCTGGACAGGTTTCAACGAGGCAACCGTAGTTACGTGGCTTCGTGAATCCACTCCCACTTCTAAGCCAACTCTGGAAATCTGAGTCCTGGGTGGAATGTTTTTTTTTTTCTTTTTCTGTCCCTGAAGCTCACTTCCTCCTTTAATACCGAAGCGCTGCAGGCTGAATGTTACTGCATCAACAGGCGCGGTGTGTCCCCGAGCGACGAGTCGGGAAAGGGGGAGTATAGTACACAGGGAAAGTTTTAGCAGTTTTAATTCGGGTCATCATGAGCGACTTGAACGTAAACGGGGCTCTGACTCGCAGAAGAAGGGCGACTCTTACAGCGGGGCGAGCGCTGAACGGGGATTCTGCAACGGGGACGGCGAGCCTGGTGGACGGCGACTCACGCCTCCACCACGGACAGAGGACACGGGAATGTCCCCTGGAGCGGTCCGCCGCAAAGAGCGAGGAAAAGAAACGCAGGGGTGAAGTTGGTGACCGACTGAGGTGAGAGAGACCACCTTAGAGAGAGCTGGACGCTTTCAGGCGTTTGTTTTTAACCTTTAACTACAGAGGATGCAGGAGGTACTTCTGCGGAGATAAGTTTGCTTCATAAATGTCGGAAGTGACTTCAAACTCCACGGGTGTCCAGCAGAAGTAGAATAAGTGGGCCTGGGTGGTCTGATGGACTTTAACACGTCCTCTCTTGACACGCACTTCTTATTTATTCAATGATACTTTGTCGTAAAGCTCCTATGAGATTTATATATTTTTATATATGAATCTAATAAAAATTCTACATACATCACATCACAAAAAGTAAACCTGCCTGTCTGCAGCAACTTTGTTTCTCTCATAGCTCATTAAACGTGAACTAATTCCGCCACACCAGACCACGTGACATAACACTGTTTCCAAAAACAACTTGACTAAATCCTTACCTTTATACTGCTTTACAACTTGCTAAATGGTGAACTGACAAAGTCCTCACTGTTAATTTTATTTAGCTACCACTCCCTTAAGGAATGGCGCAGAAGTTGTCTTTATGTTGTGTCATCCATTGTGCTGCATTAATGTGTTTTGTGAGTGGCAGATCTTGTTTGGCACCTGCTGTTGTAAGATGACCAGAAAGTGGTTTGACGTGGTGAAGCTAAAATCCCTTGTCTGAAACTTAATTAGGTCATATTTTATTTAGAAATGTAACCATGTAATTCTTGATTGTACACAATATAGAGGTCCTCAAGTCTGGAAGGTTGGTGTCCTGCAACCTTTAGATGTGTCTCTGCTTCAACATCGAGACAAATAAGGAGATCATAACTCTCTGGAGTTCTCTATGGCGAACTTGACTACATACTGAGAAGGGAATTCAGCCGATTGATTCTGGTGTGTGTGACAAAAACTGATGGATACATGCACAAATTTGAAGACCCCTGGTCTAGACTTTGATTAGGCCATTCCAACACATGGATAAACTTTGTTGCTGTAGCTTATGTGGCCATTGTCCTGCTGGACTGGGGACAGTCTCAAGTCTTTTGTTGTGTTTTAGGCTTGTCCTGTAGTCTGACAGTTTTTCTTCTCCAGACTGAATAAATGCATCCCCACAGCATGATTTTTTTGCCCATACCATGTTTCTCTGTGGGGATATAGAGTTCTGGGTAATATGCAGGTGCAGCATCCACAAACTGTGTCAACTACACAGGTTGTAGCAATGAGGATGTTCGATTTCTCTAATTCTCCATTCTTATAAGGACCCATTAAATAAATCAGGAAATCACTGAAAAGTTAGTATAGTTCAGTAACTCAATTCACTATACATATAAATTATAATACTCATAGATTGGTGTTTTCAAGCATTTAATTTAGTTAATTGTGTTTTTTATTGTGTACAGCTAATAAAAACACAACATTAAATATTAGAATATTACATCTGACCAATGAAAAAGGCAGAAATGACGGCTTAATGAAAAACATGTATTACCTGCTTGTAGCCTATTTGAATATGTATCTCAATGTATTGAACATGACTATTTTTTTATTGCCTGACCTTAAGTTTCTGTACTTTTGAAAGAGGTTCATAGAATGATTGTTTTATTTCATTGACTGATTTTTTTTTTAATAGAAACTTTTAATGCAGCATTTGCTGGCAATAGTTCCAGAAGTGATGGGTACCCAAAACAGTTTAAAAAAAAATATTTTCCTGTTTATTTTTTTAATGCAGATGTTTGTAAATTGCTGATATATTTTATGCAGTGATTAATGCTGACTTTTGAAATACTCAATCTGTAAAATGTGTTTTTAATTCCATAATGTGACACAGTAAACAAACTAATTGCACATTTTTCATGATGTTATTTGTTAGAGTCAGGTTTGTAGCAAAAGACTTGTGCAGCACAGTATTTTTAAATTATTACATGCTGCCTGTGGTTCTTGTTCAGTTCATTATTTTGCTCTCTACCAAATATGCCTGCACATCTGAGGATGCAGGGTAATGAGACACAAATGTCTCTTCTTCTCTTTAGTAATCAAACTTTGAAACACATTTTAATTTTACTCTAGACTCAGATGGATTTAAATTGCTCTTCTGCTCATCATCTTATTTGTTTGGTTGCTGTAGCTGTCACAAGGCACAGGAGTCTCTTTTGAGTTCTGCCAGTGGTTATAGGAACTACAGAGGAGTAATCAACTGGTGTGTGGTGATGCTGGTAAGTTTTTTTTGTTTGTTTTTTTATCTTCCCTCAAGTACTTTGGCATATACTACATTTAATATATTTCATGGGTACTGCTGCCACTTTTTACTGCTTATGAAATTATTGTGTCCGGTCATACAACCATTTTAGGTGCCAACATTTTCTAAATTCATAACCTATGAGTTTTCAGTTGGTGCTAAAAAATTATATTTCAAACAACTGACGGTCAGCTTCACGTTACTGAAGAATATGAACTTATATTTCTACTCAATCAGTTGCTAATTATTTCCTCTTTAGTCAGATTATATAACAATTGCTTCTATTGACATTTAAATGATACCTGAGTCTGTTTTTTTAATAAAAGCTGCTTTAATATTAGCTTTTAATAGTACTATATAGATAAGATGAAATTATTACAATGGGTAACATGAACAACATAAAAAAAGTACTTCACAATATTTGAAACTAGACTTGATTGTAATATTGAATAGAGAAAATATTCATTACAAAAATAATTAAAGCAGCAAATATATTTTCTGCTCCCAGGTCAATAAATAATACAGATACATTTGTGTTTCTTTCAGTTACTTGAATATATTAAAGCTTCGATTTCTTACCATTTTCTTCTACTGCCATTTTGATTTAATACAAAATCAGAAAAAAGTTCAAGGCATATGCTAATGAGGATAATTTGTACATGTGTACTGCCTCTCAAAAAACTTGCTGCTCATTTTTGTTCTTCTTTATGAGTCAAAGTGTTAAGAAAAAGAAATATTGAACTAGCCACAGTGGAATGAGTAAGTCAGACCAGAAAACCAGTTTTCAGAAGGAAAAGCCTCACAGGTTTTTCTCTGTATTTGTAATCTGTATTACTGCGAAACAATTTGAAACTGTGACAGTGTTTTTTGTTTTCTTTTTTTCCCTGATGTTCTGTGTTTTGCTACAGGTCCTGAATAATGCTCGTCTCTTTTTAGAAAACATTTTAAAGTGAGTATGTTTAAAAAACTTTAAGATAACTTTTAAAGTTGTTTAGGAGTTTTTTTAAACAACTTTTTTGTTGTATTTTTATCTGATGAAATGAGGATTTCCATCTGACTATAGTCTCACAAATGTCATTGAATAACTACTTGATATGTAATTGTCTTAATGTATTTTTCAAATATTTGTGTTGCTCTTAAACAAGATCCTTTTCATCCTGGAAGTACAGATATATTTATTATAATAATTAAAACAATTGAGAGTCAGTTTTGTGCTATGAAACTTTACCTGTTAACTCATTAACAAAACTCACTGGAGCTCTGAATTCACTGCTGCTGTCAGAAGTGGAATCATTTGGTGTTTTTAAAGTCAGTGCTTCAAACTCTCAGTACAGGAATTATTTAAAGTACTTAATTATTTAAAGCTCTCAGTTTTAATCATTTAAATATTGTATGTTTCTCACAGCAATGGAGACACTGTTATTTCAAACATTTCTTTTCATATTCTTCCAGGTATGGTATTCTTGTGGACCCCATTCAAGTGATTTCCTTGTTTCTGAATGACCCGTACAGCTGGCCTGCAGTGTGCTTGTTGATTGGTAGGTTAATATTTAATATTATTGTTTCCCAAACATCTTTAAAGACGAATGCATTTTCTTTGGCAATCTTTTTGTACATTTAATATTGTTGAAAAACAAAGCAGAGTTTCTGGCAGGTTCACAAAATATGCAAAATACATTTTCTAAGTATGTCACTGTTTGAAAACTAAATTAAGACTTATGTATCTGTGTGGGGAAACGAGATCCAGATACTGGTTTTGTATTTCAAAATTTTGTATGTGAGTCTTGGGTCACCAAACCAATAGGTGGCTTGAAGAGTAGTTTGTTGAATGTCTGACATTATGAAGGGGAAAAATCTGAGGAATTTCCTACAGAAAGATTTGTTGTGTTTTGACACCATCTTTGAAATTACTTTCAGTCATAGACACATTCTCTGAAGGATTTGGTGAACTCTTTCAGATCACCATAGCTGAGAAACTTTTCATCACACAGGTCTGTTGAGCAAGTGGATGAATGCATGAGGTAACCTCAGCAACAGTAGGTGAAATATGAGTCTTCACAAAAGAAAAAGAGAGAGAGAGACTTCTGCTAGAGGAACATAGCAAAGTTTTTTTTAAGCAAAATCATATGTCTGAGCTTTTGTTGACTATGGTAATTAGAGACAAAGAGTCGATGATTCAATCATTCAGAAATAAAAGGAGGAATTTAACTCTAGATTTACTGCATTGCAGTTTATTAATGAGTTTTAGTAGTCCTTGCAAAATAATTTTTTAAAATTCTGCTGTTAATAATAATCGTGTTTTTTATTTGTGTAGGCCACTGACACATTTCTTACCCAACTAGACATGAATAGTTTTGTACTTGAAGACAATGGAAAACAGATTGAGGTATGAAGAGTCATAGTTATGGTTGGAGGAGGCACCTAATACAGTCAGGAGATGTTGGATTCCTAAGCTTGGGAACTTTGCTGCATACCTTCCTTCTTCTCTGTCTTACAATTTAAGAGCCACTGGCATTACAAAGATCTATGAAAAGATCTGTCTTTCTTTATTAATGACTTTTTATTCTTGCTGTCTTTTAAATCTGTGTATGTGTCACCAATGATTTCAACCACCTTGTAATGACAAGCAAACATGCACAGCTTGTAGTGTTACCCAAGATGCAGGAGGCACATAAGCTTTTAAGATAAAGCAAAACAGAGTGAAAAAGAAAAGAAAAAATGAGTACAGCAAATCTAACTAATGTAGTAGCTAAGGGAGCAAGAAGGGCATCTAAGAGTCTGTTGCAGGGTTGTTGTATTGATTACTAATGTATATAATTGGAAAATTATTCTGTCAAACTTCCAAGACAAATTAGTAGTCATTTATAATGATTCAGTGGTTCAACTACTGAATAAAGCATGGGTGCAAAAACTAATCAAACAAATGTATACGTTACATGTAGCATGAATTATGTTTTGGGGCCACAGTGAGATTATTTAAGTCTTTTCTTTATAGTTGGGGAAAAATATATTGTGTCTAAAGCATTTTATTAAATTCCTCTCTTCCTCAAGTAGTGCAGTGAGTTCAGCCTCATGTAGAACTTACCTTCTTTGCAGCAGCACACAGGTGCATGCTGTGCACTGCTGCAGTTTCTTCCATATTTATCCTTATGTTACATTGCAGTGAAGGTCTGCAGCAGTGCAGCTCGCAGTGTCTCTAGTGGGACAATCATCTGCCCTATATACTAACACTGGTACTCTCCTGCAGAGAGGGGGGGAGGGAGATGGGTTGTGAGCAACAGAAACTGGAAAGGAGAGGTAAGAGTGGAATGAGGGAAGTGTTTAATGGAAGACTAAATTAAGTGAGTGAAGACAGATGGAGGGCTATGAAAAAGGAAAAGGGGTAAGAGATGGAAAAAGAAGAGATAAAATTCTGCATCAAGACAGGAAAAGAGCTTGAAGAGAAGGGAAAATAGATGGAGGTAAGGCAAATGACTGCAGAGACGGAGGGTAAAGAGACAGGTGAGAATTGGAGTTTCTTAACAGTAGCATGGACAGGAGCAAAGCTCATTCTCCCACAGGGACACCGAGAGTCACTGCAGAAGCTTACACACACATTTTAACTCTCAAATGATGGTGCCTGCCAGCAAAATGGATAAAGTTTGCAAAGCCAGCCTTAAAAAGTTTTACATGTATGGAAGTGGCTTATTAGGGGGATCAGCTTTTTTCATTGCTCTGCAAATGTGTTGCTCTGAAAATACCACACCCAACACGTTTTACACGTAGGAGCTAGACAAGTTATTACAGTTACAGACTTAAATATTTCACTCCAATTATAGGTATCTAACAGTTATTTGTGTTGTGTTCTTTTGCGCAAGAATTATATAGGTTCATTTTATTTGGCTTCAAACAATCCTGTTACAAGCTTTATTTTTGTTATTTTATTACAATGTCATTGAATACATTCTTAAAAATGTGATGTAATAATAATGTTTTATGTGACCTTATATTATTTAAATGTACTTTAATCTGCAGTTCTACACATCTGCATTTATTAACATTGGTGTATTAGAATAATTCTTTATTTGTATTATTTGATCAGTCAATTCAATCAATTTTCAGGGAAAGATTTAAGTCTAACATAAAGTGAGGCATTTACTAAAGACAAACTGATGATCTATCTCCTTTCATAACAAAAGTAATTACCGATATCTACTTTTGTTTACTTGCTTAACAAAGTAAATATCAGTGTGTTACAAAAGTGGCGCACTTTGATATTTAATTTCAAGTTCAAAAGTTCTTTATTTCTCCTTCACTCAATTTAATATTCCGCTAAACACTTCCTTTAGACATCTGTTTTGTTTTAAAGGCATCAAATACAAAGCTTTCAAACGCATATATAGAAACACTACAGTGCATCATATACAAAGTGTGTCATAACAAAGGTCCCAAAGATAAACTAGAATAGAGTTTCCAGCATTAACATTTATATCATTAAGTTGAAACCAAATTAATAAATAAATTGTATAAAATTTGCATCACAAGCTCTCTCAATAGCTTGCTCTGTATTTTGGCCATTCTTTCAACCAGAACTAGTGTAACTGAGACAGCCAATGCTTGTCTGTAGGCATCATTGCTGTCAACAGAATTTCTGTGGAACTGAAATCAGGGCTTTGTGTAGGCCACTCAAAAACTTTGACCAATGTTCGTAAACACTTTTGGTTGTATGCTTATGGTTAGTGTCTGTTTGGAAGACCAATTCACACAAAATTTTCAACTTCTTGGCTGTTGTGTTAAGGTGTTACATCTAAATATTGTAATTTCCTCATGATACTTCCACCTCTGTACTTCAGAATGAAAAGATGGCTGCTGTAAATAAGTCTGCTTTCTCTAATCTGCCGTGCATTTCTTCAGTGACCCCTCAAAGATTCAACATGTTTGAGTGACTTCTTTTTTCAGCTCCAGATGACACTACAAAAATATGTTATCATTCCATATAGGCCTGCTACAATCAGCTGTCATTTGTATAATGGGAGCTACTCAGGATCGTTCTTAACATGATTGGATAATTGTCATTACTGATTGGATCCACCTGTATGTCAGGCACTTCTCAGGAAGGCATTTGCTTGTGTTCTTCTTTTATAGATGTGATCTGTGCTCTGTGTGCATATTTTGCTTCGAACCAGCACATACTTTTTATTAAGAAGTAACAAAAGCTTTTAGGCCTTTATTAATGATTATACTATAGATTGGTCTGTTTAATTATAATGGTGTAGAAATTAACTGAGAGAGATAAATCACTAATTGCAAACAATTGTGTGAAAATTAATCATGTACCAAAACAATTATGGCTGCTTTTTGTGTTGGTTTCAAAAAAGAAAAAAGCTTATTCCTTTATGCTAATGTGCAAAACTGAGTGTCTTTGCTCTCTGGGTTTTAAGCCTAAAGGTGTAAATAGTAATAAAGTGGGTCTCCGACCTTTGACACTTGTTTTGGTTTGTGTCTGTTAGAAAACTGCATGATGAATCCTTGATGGACAGGGATTTAAACAGCCATCCATCGCTCCCTGCTGGTTAAAATTATATTCTTTCTCCCTAACAACAGTGTCTTTTTTTGTGAATTTGGTTTAGTTATTCAGGATTTGAATAAGTCTTTTAAAAAATATTTAATACAATGTGTTAAAAAACAATTTCAGACATTACAAAAACAAAACAACTTCTGTTTATTTTAAACCAATGTCAGTGGGTCTTGACTGCATTGTTTTCTAAATGTGTTTCAGTGTCCAATGTGTTTATTCTGGTGGCTCTCTACACTGAAAGGCAGCTGTCGAAGGTGAGCAAAGAAACTCTATACGCTTCTGAACATTACAGTTTTGTTTATTGTAATTGAAATATGGAAGTCAGAGCTTCTCTATTCTGCAGAAAAAAAATATTAAGACAAGCTGGCTGACTAGCTGATCTCCCTATTTGCATCGGCACATGTTAAATGGCAAACTGTAAAAATAAATAATTTTTCACCATTTGTGTTCAGTTCACTTCTTGGTTGAGTTAGGCTCTGTCTCTTTGGTATCATTGTGGAATATTTTCGGTTTTTCACTCAAAAATCTAAGTAGGCCAGCATTTTTACAAGCGTTATCAGTTCAAAAGTTTATAATATTCATTTTTACCTCCCAATATCAAAGCTGTAACAAAAAATAAAAAGTTTAAAGCAGTTTTTTCATGTAGCGATGCTTAGAAATTTTACAATAATTTGACTTTTTTAAGATTTGATTTAAAAGTGCTTAAATTTCTATTTTTCTTTTTTAACCAGGGTTCATTTAGTGAATTTGCTGGATTTCTGGCCCACTGCGTTAATTTAACAATCCTACTAACATTTCCTGCTGCCATGGTGCTGTGGGTTCCCTCCATGACGTCAGGTAAATGTTTCTCACTACTATCTTAACAAAGACAAATGATGTTAAACAAAACCAAATTGTTATCTAGTTGTTTAGATCGGTAAACAAAACTCTATTCTATCCCTACAAAGAACCGGTTAACATTGATGGCCTGTTAAAAGGTATTTCCCAGAACAAGTCGTAATTGAAGTCGGTTAGCAGCAGTAATGAACCAGTTGGTCATACCTGGATTGTTTCCAGTTGGCTGCAAAGACAAGAGCAGGTCAAGAGGAGATGGAGGAAAGGAAATGAAATGAAAAGAGAACAGATGAGAACATGAGACTTGCCAAAGGGGGCGTGGCTTGTAGCGTAAGGTCATCCAAGGGTCTCTCCATTATGACTTAATCAGACGGCTTGACATCAACATTGGCTGTTTTCCATAAACCATGCAATAACACAATGGGTAGGATTGTTCTGTACAACAGGAAAATGGACAGCATGTTTTTTTATTTTCTCAAATATTTTTTACAACTATGATAACTCTGGAGTTGCCTAAAATGAATTCGGGCACCTTTTTTACATCCCCAAACATGATGCTGCCATACTTCTGTGTAGCGATGGTGTTCTCAGGCATGCAAGCTTGCCCTGTTTCCTCTCAAAGTATATCAAAATTACGGCAAAGATTTATCTTTTAAGGGCATTGGATCACAGGACATTGTGACTGATCGCAGTTTTCTGGCTGCTCTCCGGTTACTGATCTGCCAATTCCCGAATATAGCAAGAAAGTCACAGGCTTGGTAACAGTGGCGTGACTATTGTTAACTTCAAATGTGCAGTCATGACCTGGTGGGTGGGCCTGTCACTCAAACCTCTCTCATGGTAGAGCAAAGAAGGACAGTGGTTGATTTTTAGATTAAATCACTGGATAAGATCAGCTTCCCATGCAAGAATTGGTCGATCTCCCAATAAATGTCTTTGTGTCATTGTCATTTGAAAACTGTAATGTGGTGTCTTGTTTTACCTGGATATTGCAATATATTTTGTATATGCTTGCAGAGTGCAACTGTGAAGGTATTCTATGAAAGGCAAAGTTGTGAAACTTGAACAGATAAATATTTCGCAGAGATTTGCACATTTGGATTTTTCTGCATCCCAAATCTGTAACCAATTTGACACAAACTAGAGTATGCAGTTCTGTAAGTGTTGCATTAGTGCAAAGTTTAGTTTTCTAGATTTTACTATTGCTCTTGCAACTTTACCTGAGTCAATAAACATACTTGAAACTAAGTCTCCTTGTAAAAGCCATTTATATTTGGTCCCCCGATAAATCACTGGTTTAAGACTTTGTTCGCTGTCACGTTGGGTGGCATTCTTTTCTGTTTTTCCTCTCATCTGTTCTCTCCCTGGGAGGTGAAGGAGCGAGGGAGTCGCTCCATCTGTCTGTAAGTTCTCCCATCTCTGCTGCTGCTGTGCACACAGGAAGGGCAGTGGCAGAGGGCAGGTGTGTGTGCAGATATCTGTGTGTGTTTGGTGTATACTGTATTTTCATGTCACAATTTGGGTGAGTCTACCTCCATCATCTCTGGGTTCAATCTGATCCCATTTATTTTGTGTTTAAGTGAATGCTTGACTTTTTTTGCTCCATATTGAAGGACGTCTTGTAATTTATTGGGGAAACTAGATAATGATAATGATTTGTTTTCAATGGTTTCTACAGATATTGTCATCATTAGTGTGCCTTGCAATGACATTAACCGCATTATGTTTTGAAAATAAGAAATGAAAAAATTGAAGCACATTTTTGGGATTGTTTTGAAAAAAATAACATGACTGGTACTGAGAACCACTGACGTTATTCTCATAATAACTCTGAACGCAAGGTTCTTCTCACAAGGATACAAGAAGGCTTTAAGGTAGCAGGAGGGTTAATATGAGCACCCCTGACTTGAAATATTAACTAGAATGAAAAATTTGAGGATACCCATTTCTCAATGTTTACATCATGACACACCATTATAACTATGAGTTATAATGTTATACCATTGATAAGAACAAATCCATATACTGTTTAATTTAAAAGATTTACTAAAACTAAGTGATAATCGGACTCAATAACATTAACGAATTTATTAAAGAGTTGCTGTTTATTAAGAGTGTGTGACTTGTATCTTAGTTCATGAGATATTGTTTAAAACAAGTCTTTCAACTAAATACTTCTCAAATAAGATGTTAAAAAATGCAGTTTTTGTTGCTTTTTTTTTTTTACATGTAATGATGAAGTAGGTTGGATTATTGTTCTTATTAATCTCAAGAAACACGTTTGGACTTGTATGTATTATTTGAGGCATTGCTCTGAGAATAATAATTTGGAAACCTCTGGTGATTTCTTTTGATTTGAGTGGGTGACTGAGAGACAAACTACTGGCTCCTCTGGGATATTTTCCCATTCGAGCTTTGCCCCCGCTGTGTGTTCATGATCACAATCTACAGTTGCTGATTTGGACACGGTCTCACTGTTTAGAGGCCACACTGAGCTGCAGAGGCAGATGGTTAATGGATAAGATCTGTTATGGTTTGATGCCAGGTGTAGTGCAGACCTCCTCTTTGCACTGATGGCACAACAGGAGCGATTTTATTTGTGTTTTTCTGGTGGCACATGAGCATCTGTTTGTTCTGTGACCAGCACTGTCTCATTTTGCAAAACGTATGGTGGCTATTGATAAAGCGGAAGGAGAAAAAACTTCTATTTGTGTGCTCTAAAATGACTGGAAATGTCTGTTTATCTACTTTGAAATCAGTTTTGCCTTAATAACCAGTACTCACAAATTACAATCATAATAAACGTGTTTTCCGTCTCCATTTTTTAAATTCTACCTTCATTCTCAAATGTTCTTTTTTTTTTTTGCCTGTGTCCTGACTCCCTTTGTTATTTTTTTTTACCAAACCATGATTGAGCATATGTATGTTCATGCTGCAACTTTTTTAGGAGAGTTACTTTGGTGTCTCACACTACTTTTTCTCTTCACTTCCTGTCAGTTGGTGGTGCAATTGCACTTGGCATTTACACAATCCTCTTCCTGAAGCTGTATTCATATAAGGATGTGAACTTGTGGTGCAGGGAACTGAGCACTGCCAAGGCCAAAAAACTGTCAAGGTCACTGTCTTGTAAGTCATTCATATACATGTATGCTGTGTGTCTTTTGGAGTCCTCAAAAGTTAGACATATAATATTATATCGATCATATAAGTTATATTTCAGCCTCTTCCCAAATGTATTTTTATATTGTAGCTCACAATGTCACAGTGACATCTACTGGTAAATTGTGTAACCAAAATTACAGTCTTATTTCTTTTTATTTGATAAAATGTTGGATTTAATGAAAAGTATGCTCAATGCCTGCTGAAAGATCATTTTCAAAAGTTGCTTCTAATCTGACAAACTTAATCAAAATGCATATTGTAATTCTTGAAAATGAAGTAGAAAAATATGGAATATCTTGAAAATACCGGATTATATGTACAAAGTGCAATCATATCAACATTATTAATGAAAAGAGCCATTTCATTTCTTCTAAAAATAAATTTTGCATAAAGCCACATTTTATACTTGACTCTTTATTATAAATATATAGACGGTATGGTCTTAGAATATGACAGCTGTTTTTCCATAGCATGTATTGTGAGGAAAATTAAATGAGCCTGGTTTGCTATTACTACATGTACTTAAAATTAAGCAAAAATAAGCAGCAACAAAAAACAATTAAAAAAAATTGCACCTAGAAGGCATCAATGGATAGTAATCATCATCTTTCGACATTAGCAGACCATTGTTGACATTTCCCATAAAAATGCATAAAAACCTACAGAAGAATATTTAAAACGGTCTTTTCTCGTTGTCTCTAATTTCTATTCCCTTTTTGTTCTCAACTATTATAAACCACATGGGCTCTTGAGCTGCAGATTGCAGACCCCTGACCTGAACTCTGTCGTACTGTCTGATGCAGGTCCTTCATCACAGCAGTTTAAAGGAGGCGAACAGAAAGTGTGCTACCCTGGCAACCTTACAATCAAAGGTAATGAAATGCATTGCACTGCAAACTATTTCACTAATGTTTGTGTGGAATGCTTCTCTTTGTCACGTTTTCTGACCTCTCCACCAAATTTGCAGATATGTACTATTTTGTCTTTGCTCCGACTTTGTGTTATGAGCTCAACTTCCCTCGATCTCCTAAAATCCGCATTCAGTTCTTGCTAAGGAGGCTGTTTGAGATGGTAAGACAATGTTTTGCTATGTTGAGCATCTGTCCAGTATATTAGACAAACGTACAGTTCATAAAGTCACAATATTTTAATGATGAATTGAGGTGAGATATTTAATATTCTCAGTAAATATTAAAAATAAATGTTTATTTACTACTTGGGTTTTTTTCTGTCCCTGGTTGTAGACTTTAAGAATCCTATAAAGCTAATGCTTGACCAAAGACATAAAAATAAGCATAAAGTTTTTATTTTCATGTTTCAAGTTTTGGAAAAATAAGATAAATTATGGTAGAACATTTGTTTTCCCAGAGTCTTTTGCATCTTTTAATTGTTTTGCTTTCTTTCCTGTATTATTGATGCTTTACATTCTCTGTGTCTTATACATATATTTTTTTCAGTATTTTTTTTTATTATTATTGTTAAAATCTGTTTTTCACCAATTAGCACTAACTAAATTTTTTCTCCCTTCAGCTGTTTTTCATCCAGCTTTTGGTTTTTCTGACCCAACAGGTACAGTCTGATTCGTATTACTGTTTTGATTTACTCAGAATTAAAGTACAATCAAAACCTGAACTTTTAAAAGTGTTATATCATGTACTAGGATCTGATTGGATTTATCTGCTTTATATTTCTTTTAATTAATTAAAATTCTTTTAAATTTATCGAAACATTTCTTTTTGTATCAGTGGATGGTCCCCATCATTCAAAGTTCAATGAAGCCTCTTGAAGTAAGAAAACTAAATCATTGATTTTAACTCTCACTTTTGCTAACACTGCAAATTTTTAAGTGAGCTTTGAATCTCCACCAGGACATGGATCTGTCCCTGATGACTGAGAGACTTTTACGATTAGCTGTAAGTAAAGTCATTTCAGAAATAAATTAAGGTGGTAAAATGTTGGCTTTTGTTGTCTCCACATCTGCAAATCTCAAATATTTGCGAGATTCACAACAGTCCATAAATTTTAGCATGTATATTATTATTTTTATGTTTGCTTATGTGAGCATTTACTTTGCCTTTCAGGTCCCTAATCACTTATTATGGCTGATGTTTTTCTACTGGTTCTTTCACTCATCTATGAATTTCACGGCCGAGCTGCTGCGCTTCGGTGACAGACGGTTTTACAATGACTGGTGGTAGGTTTATTTGTGTCTGTATATTGTTACTGAATTTTATTGGCGCTTGCAAGCTGTGTGTCATGGACCAGGAGGATTTGTCCTGTTCTGACTGTCGGTGCTACGATCTGTCCGCATGTTAATGGGAATAATTCATGTGAATTGATGTTGAAGATGGATTAAATTATTTTTATTTGTAGGCCTGTCACATTAATCAATAAATCAATTAATCACATGTTAATTTTAAACAAACTCAATCATTTCCATTGGCATGATTTATTGCTTATCTCTTTTTTTCTCTTTTCTTCCAAAAACTGGATGATAAAAGTCTTCAGTTTGGCACATTGGTCTAAACGAGCCCTTTTTTTGATGGACAATTTGAAATTAATTAATTTGAAATTAATTTTATTTGTCGTTTTGTTTATTTGGGGTATTTAAAATGTCTTTTGGTTCCAGTATTAAATATTTATTAGAATTTAAAGGTTTTTTTATGACTATCCCTAATCTCTAGTGTAGAAAAGCCTAAACCTACTGATACTAGTTTTAGTATTTTAGTCTTCTCCCCTCTGTTACAGTGTTCAGACTGAATATAGTGGTAGTTACATAACCCAGTGAAGCCTCTCTATGGTGCATTAACTGATTGAAAAAAGATTTTAATATTTTATTTCTGAAGAGCTTGTTGCCTGTCAAACTTTAAAACTGATCTGTTCTGTCAAAAACTATTTAATCTTTCACTTAATCACAGTATGGATGTTCTTTTATTGCTCAGGTTTTATTCACAGTTCTAAAACCTGTTTTAGGAGATTTTAATTCTTAATTTTTTCCTCCAGGAATTCTGAGTCAGTGACTTATTTCTGGCAGAACTGGAACATTCCTGTACACAAGTGGTGTCTACGGTAAATCATCTTCAGAGCCAAACATATTCTTACCAATATACACTTAATCCTTGGATAGACCTCGCAATGAAGAAAGGATAAATGCATTTTTTCTAATGTTTAAGTGCAATTTATCAAATAATTAAAGGTATTTTCCTTTGTCTGTTTCACTTTGTAAACAGGGAATGAGTGTGTTAAAATTCTAACTTTTCACATTTATTTATTTTCAGTCAGTTGCAACAGACTAAAAATAAACTATGGCAGTATTTGTTTATCTCTGTGTCTGTTCCTCTATTAGTCATTTTTACAAGCCTCTGCTGAGAAAAGGATTCAGTAAAATGGTCAGCCAGTCAGCTGTCTTCTTCCTGTCAGCGTTCTTCCATGAGGTAAGACAATCAGTCTACATGCCTCCTTCTACTTATGCAGAATATTATGTAGCACACACAAATACAACTGGAGCATAGATGTGATGCACATGTTCCACTGATGTTTCCTCCCTCGGTTCTTGCTTCAGTACCTGGTCAGTGTCCCCCTCAGGATGTTCAGACTCTGGGCTTTCACAGGCATGATGGCACAGGTGAGAAACCAGATGTATTTCCAAACAAACACTTATTTTTTTAAAGATTAAACAAAGATGAATATTCTTAATCCAGTGGCAGTACTGTATTGATTTATTTAGCTATTCAGTACATTACAGTAAAGCCAAGTTAATTATAATCAGTATTGCTGATGCAGGAGCTTCGGTATGATTCACTCAAAGTAGAAGCATAATTGCCTTTATTCACAAGGTGGCACAATTTGCTCCATTTTTCCATCTTCCTCACTTTCTTTTACATCATGAAAGAACAATAATAACAATCATTTATCAAGTGATATCAGGAATAGAATATTTGATGTTTGTCATCCCTTAACACTAAGTATCTGACTTTGTGTCACACTACTAAATAAATATAAATGTTAGCAGCCTACTTTATAGGCTTTTAAAAATTTAGTACATTGTTTCAAAATTCATTGTGACCGATGTGTCTTATTATTCATTGAGTTTGGGATTTTATTATACTTGAAGAGCAAGATAAAAGCATTTCTGATTGATGGGAGCCAACATCTAAAAGATTCTCCTTGGAAAAATAACACAGCACTTTTTAGCAGATGTTGGACTTCAGTTCCAGTCTATTTCTGTTTTTGGCTTAAAAATTTAGGTGAATGGTCAATAATTAAGTATTACTAGTTTACTTTTGCTTTTTTTTTTTCTTTTCCTTTTTTTAACCATACCAGAAACTGTAGTGCTCCATTTAAAATCAAATAGTGACTGCTGAGAATTTGCCAAAGAAGAAATTAGAAAAAGCGGAAATGATGCAGTGATTTACATAAAAATAAAAATCTGCTCTGACCTGTGAGTGTGCTCTAGCAGTATCCTGAACAGTTTATTGAATAACATCTTCCCCAACCCGGCCAGATCCAAATGCCTTGACAGAACCAAGGGATTTTTTAGTAATTTGATCACTGAGTTATTTAAGTTTCGGTTCTACTTAGCCTTACAATGCAGACTGCCGAAGGAAAATAAAATTAATTGTTGGTCAGTAAGACACAATGACCATTTATTCCTTTCAACCTCTCAGCTTCCATTAGCATGGCTTGTTGGCCGCTTCCTGCGAGGTAACTATGGCAATGCTGCAGTGTGGATGTCCCTCATCATTGGCCAGCCATTTGCTGTTTTGATGTACGTCCACGACTACTACGTGATGCACTACGGCAATGGAGCAGACTAATACATACACAAACCAGTGTTGCTCGGACATCGTTTTTTTTTTTCCTGATCTCCTCCTTGTGACTCTCCTGGATGAACAAACACATAAACGGTACTAATACACAGCAGTGAACTAATATCACAGGCTACATCTCAGGATAATCTCAGCAGAGTTTTTTTTTAATGATCATGTCATGTTTACGTAAAACGTCTTGTAAAGTTTACAGATGATAAAGAATTTAATAACATTAAATAAATCATGAAGGAACACTCTAACTATAGCAGGGCCATAGAAGAACTGCTAACTGCAGCTTCATACTCAGGTGATCGGTACTTTAGTGTCTTGTTAGAACATATGAGTGGGGGCCAAAACCTCTAGTGTATGCAGAACTTATATTTCAGTGCAGGAAGATATAATTTTGTTAATATCTTTGTGATGTTAATTTGATTCTCTGGCTTTGTAATTACTGAGGAAAATGTATTTCCATCTATCCATCCATTGTAAGGAGGAATGATTGTATGGGGTAGGATTCTGTTGCCTTTCTGTTTTGGGATTTTTTTTTTCACCAGTTTTGTAAAATGAACAGTGCTGCAAAACCTGTTGATTGTGAGATTTATATTATTATTATTTTTTTAACCAAAAGTGCCATCTGAAAACATGTCTAGAGTATTCTAAATCGTTATTTGTTAATCTTGTGGACTATATTTTTAAACCATGTCATATGAAATAAATCTGTAAAGAAACTGGAGGGAACATTTTATTTCAAATTGTTGTATTTTTATTCACTTAGTGGTTATGTAGCGTAATTTGTAAGGAGCAGATTTGTCTATTGGAATGTAACGGAACTGTAAACATACTTTTCATGGCTTTTTTTTAATGGAAATCATATGAAAGTGAAGATGTGCAATGGGTTTTGAATTTTAAGAACCTTGGATTTATTAAAAAGTTTTTTTTTTTTTTTTTGTTTTTGTTTTTTAAAAACTGCAACAGGATTCAGTCCGTGTAGATGTTCACCTCCTGGATGATAACCACTCAGCCTGAGCTGCAATAGAGTGGTTTAAATCAAAGTATAGCAATATTACTGAATGTATTACTGAATGTTCTAGCTAAAGTGCAGACCCAAATCCAAATGAGAATCTGTTGAAAGACTTGAAAATAGCCGTTCCATGACATTTCCCTCCCAGTCAGACACAGCTTTAAATATTTTGCAAAAAATGATGGTCAGAAGTTGATAAGAGTATTAGATTCATACTCCTAGAGACTAACAATTGTAATTCTCTGCAAGGAAAGTTTTTTGTACGTTTTATTGACTTGGGTATAAAAAAACATGCCACACATTCGGTTTAAAAAAATAAATGTAGAATTTTATTATTTAAAATTGTACTTTGTTTCTAATGAAGCCCATTGTTGCTGCAAAGTGACAAAATGTGAAATGTTATTTATGGTGGGATAATATTTATAGCTACTGAGTGAGTCAAATAAAATAAAAACTCACTATCTTTAGACGAAGTAGCTGGAAGTTCACAAGTTTGATATAAGACATTTTCTGTGATTTGGCAGCTTATAAGTTTAAATATAAACAGTGACAAACAATTTCATCTCCCTGTGTTGGAGGGCCACAAAATCAGGTCACATTCTGCTGCTGGTTTAGTTATTCAGAGGGGTGAGAACAGAGCTGCGAACCTGCACTTTGTCAGGTTGACAGAGAATTAAACAGCAACTCTGTGAGAAGCCACAAAGTATCATCAGACATTTGTGTGCTTTATGAAATGTTAACAGTCGTTAATAAGGATTAGTTCACTGATGTAAAAGACATGACTTTAGAAGATGCACAATGCACAGACTGGTTTCTTGTTAAAAATCCGAATGCTGATATCGTAGATGTAAATGAAAAAAAATCTCATCTCCACTGGGAAAGTCATGTGATGTGATGGCTCACATTTCTTTTCTGGAAGAGGAGCATTCTTTTTGATTTTTAAGAGAGTGAATGTTACCCGAGCAAGTAATCAGTTCATCAGTCATTTTACTGCCAAAATAATAGAGGAAAAAAGCCAGGATGGCCACTCTTCTCTCTTATTCTGTCACTCATTTGAGTAAAAAAACCACAAACATCTGAGGTAAATGCCCATCTTTAAATATATGTATTAAGTCATATAAGCAGGTGTGTTTTCCTATCTTAGTTCTATGTCTGTTCCTGTCTTTCTTTTTGTCCCCGTCCTGGGTAACAGGTTGATCCATGGATCTTCTTCAGACATCTGTTATTCCGGATCTTTCCCAGAAACGCTGACAGGTTATGAGTAATGATGATCCTCTTGCCAGGAAACCAGGAGACACAAATCCGTCTCATTTCTCAAGATGGATGTATTCATTGGTTCAGGGACAATTTACGGTGGCAATGTAAAACTCATATATATATATATATATATATATATATATATATATATATATATATATATATATATATATATATATATATATATATATAGGCCCACGTAAACATAAAACATCTTGCAAACCAGTTGTTTCACTTGCATTTCAGATTTAAATACCTTGAATTTATTTTTATACTAAAATCAATCCAATATTAAATTCTTTACTACGTTTTTTTTTTCTTACGTTATAGCAAGCTGTCTCTGTAGTCTTATTAGGAAGCAGTCACTTCAGCTGGGCCAGCACTTTAGTGACTTAGAGAAAAACATGGTTTAAAACTGCTTGTTAAGGGCTAATTTTAAGCATTTATGGAAAACGTTACATTGAATGTTCATTTTTTTATTGTAGTTGTCAGCTATAGTCACAACAGGCTAGAAATAACATGTGTAAAATAAATGTGACCTTTACTGCAGTTGAATAATATCAGGAAAAGGTCACCACTGTTCTCTATCAGTGAGCCTTCATTAAAATCCTCATCATTGTGTGTAGTGGAGTGATAAACACTGGTCTTCACCAAGCCTTATTTCCACAGTTCCATGTTAAAAGTTTTAATCATTACTCTGACTTTAGGCATGGACACATTCACAAAGGTTGGCAGCTTCTTATGAAAACACATTCCTTTCTAGCTTGGCATTCACTGTGTGTTTTCTTGGTTATACAGGACAGTGTAAGCTCTTTACATTTTTCATAAAAATACTTAAATCATTTTTAATGTACAAGAAATGCCAGGGATTCCAATAAGTGTGGCACCACAGATTCTGCCCAGATTTTGCCCTTTCCAGTAAGATTTTTGTAGTTTTATTAGTGTCAGCTTTTACTACTTCAATGAAAGATCAACTTACAAGAGATCGCAATAAACACATCAAGAGCGTTATATAATTTTAGCCCTGCTCTCTGAAAAAGTACTTGTGCAAAACTGCACAAATTGTTGCTCTGTTATTTCTTTGTTGCTCAAATTACAATACCTAAAATATATTCCCTACAAAAACGAATCATACTTAATTGGAAATATCACAAAAGCAAAAGAAAAAAAAAAACGTCGACTATGAACACATTTTTTTTTAACACATTTTTTTTTAAATTACTTTTATGTTTGTGTGTTTTCAGTCTGCTTTTTAAAAACCTTGACGTCATTTATTGTTCTTTGTAAAGCTACGCTTCAACAACGGTTACGCTTACATTGTGTGTGTGTGCATTGTGAACATGTCTATCCAGAATATAAACACTACAGAGACTTCCTGTCTCAGCACCAGAGGGCTGCTTCAGAATTTGAGGAAGAAAAATGAGAAGGCAGGGACACTGAGAGAGACCAGAGACTAAAAATGATGCTAAAACCAGAGGGAACAGAGGAAAAGCAGAAAATAGCAGTAAAATGAGCGAGACTCAAATTAAGAATCTAAGGCAGAAGCATATTGTAAATTTTTATTTGCTAAGAAGTGATACAGTGAGAGATGATCATGTAAGAAAATAGAAATTATATTTTTTTATGCTTAATTTTTTACAGGGAGATACTTTTCATTGCCTCCTTGCAGGATGAGTCAAAATCCTGATAAGTTGTTTGACTTGATGTCAAGTCTTTAGCTACTTAAGACATGATTGGTGTTGAACTGAGAATGATGCTTCCCTGGACATTGATGAAGGATTTTTGGCTTTCGAGGAAAGGACAACTTTATTAGGACAAAGTTTTGAAGAGCCCATAGGTAGCCCGTCGTTTTTAAAACCCTCTGGTAAGTTAACATCAACATGGACGATCTTATTAAGGTATGAAAGTTTTGTGGGTTTTAACAGGAAATTCATCTAGTCACAAGTTGGATGTTAAATGTAGATCACAGCAAGAAGTGTCTTGTTGAAGCGATAATCGGAATACATTAGATCAGCGTGAGATTTCTGTGCCACCATCTCACCGTTTGTTTGTCTTTCTCTCAGTATTTTACTGTCTCTCTGGAAGTTAGTACAATCATCCAAATAAACTGCTGGAGTTTATTTGGACAATGTTGTTTTCAATCTGCCTCTAGGCCTTTTGTTTTCCTCTTAGTATTATTTGACAATTGCTTACTATTAAGGATGCACTATAGCCTGGTTTATGCAGTTCGAATCAAATTTTTGTTCCACCCAAGTTTAAAATTACTAACACAAACTCTGAAATGTTCATAGACCACTAGTTGTATTTGCAAATGCAAACAATAACAAACATTTAAACTTCAGCATGTTTATGTGGTCTTGCTACTATCACAAACTCAGTGAAATTATATCAATAATATCAATGACCATTTCATAGATCTTTATCTGTTTTTCACAACTGTTCTCAAAATGGGCCATTTTTTGTCATTTATTCAGAATTTCCTGTGTTCCACTAATCTTCTTTGAAAGGCCTAAATAATGGAGAGCTGCAAACCTTTTCTTTGCTTGTCACTCATCTCCGTAAAGCCTTTGTTTTTTTGCAGTTGTTTGCCATTTCTCTGTGTCCCAGGACCTCCTTCCTAAGCTACTCTATTCAGCTGGAAAGTGAAATTGTTTTTCAGACTACCAGGCTCCTGTGGGAACACTCGGTCCTTTAGAAATAAGTTCATACCCTTTCCTGATTTGTGCCTTCCCACAATGTCATTGTGAAGGGTGGCGATGTCCCCTGACCTTTTTAATGGGTATTTTTGCAACAGGTCTGTGCTTCTCTATAAAGGACTCAGTCGATTATGTTTCTCAAGTTATACATGTAACAGATTTTAGAGCAGACAAAATGTATCTGAAGAGCTTGATTTAGGCCCAATATAAAATTAAATTCTTGCATCCATATGTAATTATAATAACAAAGATACTACTTACACCAGAGCTTATCTGCAGCAACTTCAAGAAATACTCAAGCCCTTCAAACCTTTTTATATTTCTTGACTTAACAACCACAAAGTTGAATATTTTATTATTTGATATTTTGTGGCAACCCAGCATAAACTACTTCATAATTGTGTGGACTGTATGGTGAGGCAGATTTTTTTTTCACCTATTTCTCCTTGCAAAATAACTAACGCCAAGTAAGTTTGGAAGTAGAGCATCTGTGAACATCAGTGTTCAAGTCCACAGATATTAAACTGGATTTAGATCTGAAGTCAAATTGTGATTATGCTTTATCACTAATAACTATTTTGAAGAGAGGCGTTCCTATAGTATGATGCTGACACCACAATGTTCTTCAGTGTCATTTCAAAGGAGGTCCATTTTCCACATGATAACTCCCTCCAACATGTCTTTAGCAAACTGCAAGCGGGACTTCTTCCAGCTTTCTTTCGACGATGCTCCTCTTCTCAACATTATAAAATAAAGGCCAGACTTCAGAAGATGTTACTGTAACAGTCCCATTCATTTCCTTCATTGGTGTTAATGTACTGTGGCTGGGCTCGTTTTCGTCCTGATAATGAATCACATTATTCATGCCTCACCCTCAGTTGAGCATATTATTCTCATTAGCCTGAGTAACCATATTTTTTATCAGCTGGTGATATTTTGCTGATTATTGGGTAATGGGAATACAAAAGCTAATCACACTCTGTTCTCTCTTTGATTCACACGAGCAATTAAACTGCATTAGTCATGCAGGAACACGTGACATGCTGGCCTTCTCCTGGGGTTTTGTTATTCTTAGAGAAATTAGAATTAATACAAAATTAGAGTAAATCAAACTGTGAAAATGCTAAATGTGTTTATGTTGCATGTTGACATAAGCTGTTCTGTTTGTCTTGCTTTAAATAAGCCATCATTATTATTGTTGGGTGTTTTTTTTCTGTTCTCTGACTTTATAAAATATTATCTGTGATACAATTGGAATCACAGCATAAAAAACTATTTGAGAAGACATTTTATCTTGATAGTAAAATTGTTCTGGAAGTTGCACAAGCCACAGCAATGACTCTTTCCACTGAATTATTGCAAACTAATAGCTTATCAAATTATATTGTGCAAACCAGAAAGCTATAAATACCCTGTCAGCACAAAAACAATTTCTTCTCAATTGCATTTGGTTTAATTCAGCTGTGAGAATCATTTGCCATCTTTCCTCAAGGAAAATAAACACACACAGTCCAACTTGAGATTCACAACTCTGAAAGAGTTACAGAGATGGGTGTTTCTGAGTCTCGATAAGTGAGATTGAAAACACACAAACTTAATAATCAGGGTTTTTTTCATATGAGTTACAGAATACACTGTTTGTCTTTCTGATGAGAAAATGGAAATGCATATGCCAATGGCCCATGAGAGAGTATTCCTACTCTCTCATGGGTAGAAATATAAATGGTATATTTATTTTATAAATAGCTGCACCAAATAGCTCTGATATTGGTTTTAAAGTGGTTCTGTCAATGCAGTTGTGCCAACAACAACAAGCATTCTGAGGTCAAACAAAGAGAGGACACGTCAAGGCAGAGGAATGTAGAAAAAGCTATTCCTCCTCTAATACGCATCTTCAGACACTGAATTCAAAATCGCAGTGACTTGCAAAAGTATTCATAGCTCTTGAACTTTTTTCCCCCTCATTTTTCACATTAAAACTACAAACTTGTTACATCTGGTTTCTATATGACAGATACACATTGTGAAGTCGAAGGAAAACCAGACGATGATTACAATGTGTTTTTACACATACAAAATTGAAAAGAGCGCTGTATATTTGTGTTCAGCCATACTGAGCCAAGACCCAGGAGAATCACCTACAACTGCAAGCCTTTTGGGGGGTTAACTCCTTTGCACATTAAAAGATAGATTCATTTTTGTATTTTTTTGCAATTTAGTCATAATTAAGTAATGCTGGATGCAGAGCAAGTGTGAACCTAAACTGTTGAATTTGGTGTCAAAACAAGCACATGTAATCATAATAAAATATATTGAAGTTTGTGTTTGCAAAGTGACTAAAAGTGAAATAGCCCAAAGGGTATGAATGCTGTAGGGAACAGTTTCATTGAAAGAGCAACAATTTCAGGATAAAAAATCAGCTTAATTACTTTTGTTGTAAGTATTTGAAGTTTTTACTGTCATGCTTGAAGATGGGGGTAAAGTAACACAACAATGGTGAGGAACGACTGAGACTTCGGGTCTGCTACTTAGAGGAATATTAGAAAATGATTGAAAATGTATTAAAAGACATGCATGTTGATATTTTAGTTAATTTTAATGTGTGATCTTCTCTCTTGCAGTGCCGCTTTTTGTCTGAGTTGCCAGTATCTCCATCATCAACTTAACCCTGTCTTTACGCTGGGTCACCACCAACATGATGAACGTCAATAATACTGAATCCTGGGTTTCTATCAACACCTCCTTTTCCACTCTGCCTATAACAAACACACCAGCTAACAGGAGTGGCATGGGAGCATATCTAGAAAGACTGGCCCATTTAGATGAAGGACTGTACAATGATTTCTACGGCCTCTGGATTTCGCTGATGGTCATAAACTCTGTCATATTCCTGGTAGGGTTTCATAAAGCTTCTTTACTGGCTTGTTTTCATAATGTTTATGAAATCCTTCTTATTTCCACTGCTTTGCAAAAAATTGCACACCTTGAACTTTTTCATGTTTTGCCACATTTGTATTCTCTTTGGTGTGCAATTTAAAATACCTTTTAAAAAAACTGAGTTTGCACTTACATATTCTGAAAAAGTTCCAGGGTGATTTGCAAGGCACTGTATCTCCTCCGTTGTTTTTCCAGGTGGGCATGGTGCTCAACACAGTTGCACTTTACGTTTTTTGTTACCGTACGAAACAGAAGACCACCTCAGTGATCTACACCATCAACCTGGCAGTGACGGACCTCTTGGTGAATCTATCTCTGCCAACCCGCATCTCACTCTACTACAGCGGTGGAGCTTGCCTCACCTGCTCCTACATGCACATATTCAGCTACTTTGTGAACATGTACTGCAGCATCTTATTTTTAACCTGCATATGTGTCGACCGTTACCTTGCCATTGTGCAGGTGAGTTATCACCGGTCATTTGTCTTAGTAGGTTTTCTAAATATCAGTGCTCCAACCTGGAGATCTTAAACCTAGATGTTTTAAATGTCCTGATTTCCTGTGTCTTCACAGGTTGAAGCTTCACGTCGTTGGAGGAACTCCAGCGTAGCCAAGCTGGTCTGCATTACAGTCTGGCTGTTTGCCATCGTGGTCACATACTCCTTTCTCTCCACTGCATTCCAGCACACAGGCTGCTGCATTTCAAAGCTCCTCTTCCTCACAATCACTGAGTTCTTTTTACCCCTCATCGTCATTGTGGTTTTTACTCTTCGCATTATGTGGGCCCTGACAGACCGTCGACTCATGCAGCAGAGCAGGTAAAAGGCAAGCATAAGAATAGAGAAAATCAGAACTTTTTGCTAGAGAAAATCAGAACTTTTTGCTACCACTTCACATGCATTAACCGAAGCAAGTGAAATATATCAGAGAATGAACTTACTTCTGAAGCTTTGGAAAATCCCTGATTGTATCGACTTCAGCTTATCACATTTCAGATTATGTTTCTAAAGGAAGCGGAGGAGAAGAGCCGTCCAGCTGCTGACTACTGTGCTAATCATCTTCACAGTCTGCTTCACTCCCTTCCACATCAGACAAGTGAGTATGATATACATCTACCCATCTATCTGTCCATCCAACCATTCATCCATCCATTCATTCATTGCCATATACTCATTCTGTGATTGATGTAATGTCACTTTTGACAATTTAGCATCAGAACAATTTTTACAGTCAAAATCTTATCTTTTTCCAAGTTTAATTAGCTGAACTTAAAAACAGTCACAAACAACTGGTTATTATTTTCTGAGATTTATTTGGGAACAAATACAAAAAAGCTTCAAATCAATAATTATCTTACTGACTGGTCTGGCGATTTGGGTTAATTTTGACAATTCTAACAAAACCTGAAGCATGTTTAGTTAAGACAATAAGAAAAATCTGTATTTCTATGGACACCTCCAATTCAACACCACTTAGACACCCTCTATGATATGGACAAACAGCATGTATCTTTAAATTAAATGTGAAACAGAGGCAAAATATGGGGCTATAAATACATTGGAATCTTAAAGTTGGCAACAAAAATGTTGCCAACAGGTTGCCTCTGCTTAAAATATGACTGCTTGTGACCAGAGCTGACTGGATTTGTCTTTTTTTATTGTAGGTTTTATTGTATTTCTACCCTGACATGCCTCATCAAGTGATTGTGTACCACTTAACCGTCACTCTAAGTAGCTTGAACAGCTGTATGGATCCAGTTGTCTACTGCTTTGTAACAAATAATTTTAAGGTGAGTCAAGGTCCTGTCTGGCCACTCTTCCTCATTACCATATCCACCTTGAAAACTGTGCTCTCTGCCACACGTCTATCCTTCCTTCAAATCATGATTTGTTCACCCATTGGTCAATCATTCACTTTGTTAGTCACTGAATTATTTACCACTATTACTGTCCCCAGGCTACAATGAAGCATATTTTCCGTCGTGCTGAGCCAGAGCAGACGAGTGCTGATATTGTCAGTATGCAGCACAGCTCCAAGGCCTCTGGGGGAACAGTTAGTGCCATCACCAATAACAGGATCATGATGACCAGGATTCCCAGCATACGACTGAGAGACATTTTGGATAACAGTCAGACTCCATGAAACTGTGCAAGCAAGAGGTGTTTGGTTTTATAATTGACAGAGATAAATAATTTTTTAGAACATTTGATTATCAAAAAATGGTTTCCAATGTAATGACCGTGAATCTTCAGCTCAGGACTTATAGTCAAGATATAAGTTTTTAATGTGAGTTCTACAGCAAAAAGAAATATAGGTGGGTGTGACCAATTATGGGCAATGACAAGAGACAGATTTTGTTTGCAACCAACTATTATCATGCAGAGCCATAATCATCATTCTCAGTTTTCATCTGATGATGTTCCTTTTCAGAAGACTAACAGAGGACCTTTGTATCATTGCCTGAATGAGTTAAAGGATATACAATGAAGTCTCATTGAAGCTTCTTCAGATATAATGAAATGTATTGACATCATTGCATTTAAAAATAAAAAAGTATTTGCCTTGTAAGCTAATGCTTTTACCAATGCTTCCAAAGTAAGTTTTTTAAAATCCCTATTCTTGCCCTTACATAGCTATGTAGACAGTAATTGTACTATGTAAATGTCCCTCAATCTTAAATAAGATTGAGGGACAATAAATTTAAATTTAGCACTAAATTTAGTACATCTTTAACAAATTATGTGATTAAATTGACACCTGTTATGCAACTGATTTTAAAAGTAGTAAAGATGACATGAAAAACTGCTCTTGTGAAAATGGTGATGAATGACATCAGGATAAGTTGCACTCTTATGTATTGATCATTAATTTTTAGAGTCCTTAGATTAACTTCTTACAGTAAAAAAATATTGCTCCATACAAAAATATGAAGGACATTAAGTATGGTTTCATAAAACAATTACATTTAGCAGATTATTTTAACACATTATAGACAAACATGTGCTGTTTTAATCATATTATTTGCCGCTTTATACGTTTCACCAGTTCAATTTAATATTAACACAAATAGCAACTCAGTAAAGCACAAGGTTGAAACTCGAAGTATTTAACTATCTAGACGTGAAGACTGATGTTGAAGATGAACATCAGATTATGGGCAAATGACTTTGAATGTGACATGGTAGTTAATACCAGATGACATGGTGTGAGTACTTGAAAAACTGCTGATCTGCTGGAGAAAGATCCAAAATAGAGAAAATATACTGTGTGCTATACAGTGTGCTTCAAATGTGTGGATGAAAATACCTTGATGATGTCAGAAGTCAGATGAGAACCATACATTTCAATTTACATCTTTTTATGAAAAACCATCTCAACGCATCAAACCGAAGCAGTATCTGCTACTACAGCAGCAGAAGACCACATCAGGTTTTCACTTTTTTTCAGTTAAGAACAGGAAACTGAGGTCGAAATTCACACAGGCTCAGCAAAATCAGATAAGACGAGATTGCAAAAGTATTGTCTGGTTGAATGAGTCTTGATTTCAGCTGCAACATTCAGATGGTAGGGTCAGAATTTGTAATGCACATCATGAATGCATGGATCTAACATGCCTTTTATCAACATTTCAGTGGCGTATGGTGTAATGATGTGCAGAATTTTGTTGTTGTCGTTGAGCATGCACTCATTATAACCAGTGGAGCCCAGTTATAAGAAGATCCAGGGATCTCTAAGTTGTTTAAACACCTACTTAGAGAGTAGAGCACCTTAACAAGGGTGGACATTTGTGTCATGAATGTGCACCCCATTCAAGTTTTAATATATTGAAATGATAGCAACTATGTTTTATTATTTCAATATATTAAAACCTAGAAATTATTGCTGGGGAAGAGGGATGTGTGAGTGTCTTTCCTCAGCCTGCTTAGTCTGCTGCAAAGGTAACAGAATAGATACAAAAATATTGGCGAAATAAAGTATCATGTTGACAGGGTCACATTTTTGCACCAGAAGAACTTGTTAAACTATATTTCTGAAAAAAAATCCACAAAAATAAAAGTATTACTCAAAATAGACTCCTCTCCATTTCGGTATACTTTTACATGATCAAACGCAAACTTATTTTGTTTTAAGTGAGAAATTAAAAAAATGAAAACATATCGTAAGTAATTTAATTGTTTGCTTATTTATAATATCTTGACGTCACGGTCAACACCGTTGGCCACACCCCCTCTTTGTTACTGTGGAAACCAATAAAATAGATGAGTGGAGCGCGTGTGTCAGATAGTTACTGAATTAGCTGGAGAAGCTTAGCCATGAGGCTAGCCCCGTTTTGACGTTTTTATGGGCACATTTGCGGAAAGAAATTCAAAATGCTGTAATAGTTCTATGCTCTAAAAAGGAAGACATTCCCAGGTACGTCCTGTCTTTTTGTGGTTTCACAGGAAAGAGTCTTTTGGTTTTAAGTCGTTAAACGTTTGCTGTCGAGATACATTTTAGCCAGCTTAGCTCGCCAAGGTAACGTTAGGAAACCAAGGTAGGGTTAACGTCAGCGTACCTATGGAGAGGTGTTTCTACCTGTTTTCGTGTAGACATCAAAGAGTAAAAAAAAAAAAAAACTCTATAAACTCGTGTGTACTTGGGGTGAGAGACAGGAGGAGCAAATGAAGTTTCCTAAGGCTTCCCCCCCCCCCAGCAAAACAAGTCGTGACAAGTTTATCAAGCGCTACCAATTAGTAAATTTCCACTGACAGGACATTTTTAGACAGCTTTTCTTTGACCTGAACGAGCTCTCTAAATGATATGATATGTGTATGTTATACTTACGGACTCGAGTTTCGTTTCTGCACGCAGCAAAAATAACTATTGGAATGTCGCACATCTGTAGTGGAAAAGTTTAAACATTGACACACAGTGAAAGGGAATGATTAAAAGTGTGGAAGTCAGCAGAAACATTCGCCACAAAAGAATAGAAATGCTTTATGATCGCTACCCTCAAAGCTAAACCTGCACTGCCCTTCCAGGTACGTTATAGCATTGAGAAATCTGTCAATTTAAACAGTGAACACTTGAGCAACGGGGCAGTGTTCTAATACGGGTTTTTGTTTCTCAACCCTTTGATGCATGACATATTGACTATACTTCCACGGGTGGGTCTCTTTGGACCCCTTGAAATGAATGCGACGTGCCTGGAACTTTACTACCCCTTATTGAAGAAAGGGTTAGTAATATAAAAAGTGGATTAATTTAATATAAAACATGATATTTCTTAAAATGTGTAAAAGGTAAATTAAAATTTTGAATTGCATAATATCAATAACATGCTTTTTTGAGGAATACCTGGAATATTAAGTGATGAAAACTTTCCATCTCAAAGATATTGTAAAACGATGACCTCACCGGGTCCAAAAGGACCTACTTATGCATCAGAGGGTTAATCTTATATGTCATATGTCAATTTCATGGTTTGATGCCTATTGTTTGAGGTTACAGTCTGTAGAAAGATAATCAAGTTTATGCATGGGAAAAAAAGCTTGAACCTTTGGAATTTTTCTTTCCCAAAATTGATTTGCATCATATTTTATGTCATCTACTTCAGAGCAGGGCTACATTATTCTAAACCTCAGAGGAGTTCTTGTTTCCGATTATGGAAGCCAAAAGTACAAAAATACTTTGGGCACACTCAGGGACAGTGACTTCCAAAAGTATTCAGACCCTTCGAACATTACCACATTTTGCAACTGCACTAAATGTATTTCTCTCTCCATTCCTTCTCCATTACCTTTGGCAGTCTAGAAATAGAGTTTTTTGCTTGATCTTCTGTACAAGACTACTTAAGAGCAGTTGTATTTGAATATAGTCTTGCCACAGATTTTGAATTGGATTTTGACTCGCAGGGTCATTCTAACACAAATATATCTAAATAATTGTACATTTGGTGGTATGGTTAGCATCATTTTTTTTGATGAAAGGTGAACCTCCCCTGCAGTTTCAAGTTTTATGCAGCCTTTAACAAGATTTCTCTAAGTATTGCCCTGTATACTTCCCATGAACTACCTCCTGTGTTCCTGCTTAAGAAACTGTAGGGATGTTGTCCTCAGTGTTGTTTGCAACTCTGAATTGCTGACAGTTTTGCAAATAGGAAATTGTATTTGTGAGAATAAAATCAAGTCCATGATTACTAATTGTGTGACTTATGGAAGTGATCTTGCGGGATTTCATTTAGGACATCAAATTAGAAAAAACCTGCATGCCACATTTCTCAAATGTTTCATTGTAAAAACATTTTTCTTTTCCTTCAGTGAAAAGAAAAATCACAATTAGTGCATCACAATTAGTGATGTACTAAATTGTATTGGTACATCACAAAGAAATCCACTAAAATATAATGAAAGTTATAATTGCTACAGGAAAAATTTTGAATTTGTTCAGAAATACGAATGTTTTTGTAAGAACCTACTATGGTGTAAAAACAATGTGTTGACAGATTATCGTCTGTGTTACATGTTAACCTTTATTACTGGTTCTATGGACTTTTATCTTTTCCAGACGTGTGCTATTTTCTGTCCAGTTGGATCAGCACAAAGTTGGAGACCCTTCAATTCTTTACCTGGTTTTCTACAAGCAAAACAACTGGAAATAATAAGAATACAACTTCTTTCCAATTTTTTAAAAATTACTATTTTTCTTTTTTTGCAAGTGACCTTTAGGCTCTCCATCACTTTGCAGTAGGGCTTAAGAACCGTCTTTGCTGATTTTATATCAGTGTAATGGCTACATGTCTAATCACTATTCATGGCATATTTATCCCATTACAATGATGATTCATTTCTTTTAACTCAATATTACTTAATGCTACACATGTGTAATTTTTAGAAAAATAAACTATTCCTACTCAATAATTGAACAAGAGTAGGGCCATTGACATGTGTATTTTTAGTATTGTCATTTAAAATTTCTTTTGGATGAATCTAAATGAGTGGAGTTGTCTTGGGATTTCAAGGACGTTGCGAAAGAAACAAACCACAAAGTTCAAATGAAGACAGACCAAATTGAAATGGGAGAAGATGAGGATCATAAGGCCCTGGATCTTCCTGACGACAGAAAGCCCAACAGAGTCATGAAAGATGATAAAAGTGAGGATGAAGAGGAGGAGGGAAAAGCAGTTCAGATTCCCTGGTATCGCTGGGTCATGCATGCGGCTGTGATGTTTGGACGAGAGTTTTGCTACGCCATGGAAACAGCTCTGGTGACACCAGTTCTTCTACAGATAGGTAAGCAGTACTGTCTTTCTTAAAGCCACACTCCTGTCTTGCCATATTACTTAAGTGAGTATGTATTAAAAAGTTGAGATGAAAAATGTTCAATTTACTCAAAGAACCTGTACTCGTGCAGTTTGACCACTGAACTGGTTCAAAAGATGCAAAGCACACATGGTACTTTTCTATGTTTTTCTACAAGTCCAATCTTGCGGTGGGTAAAGTCATTACTCACTCTGCTTATGTAGGTTAGCACAGCTACTTCAGTATAATGTCAGTGCAATTATTTTAAACTTATGCTGACAAAATTTGCAGCTATCTCTTTTTCCTTGAAGGTATTTCAGCGACAGAATAGTGACCAAATTCCTTCAACATTGTCAGGACATTAAACCAATTTGGCCCACAGTTGGCCATGATGGTTGTGTTTGTTCATTTTCTTTATTGGAGTGGTTGGGTTTGAATGTTTGAGTTTTAAGTAAGTCTTCATGATTAACAGTTCTCATGAGATATTGGAAAAACAGTAGTTTCTTGTCATTGGATTAGACTGGATGTTTCCGTCTGTCTCCCAAGCTGCACTTCTGTGTTATGTAACAGTAGTATCCACTGAGGGGCTTTAGCATGGTGTTAGATGTCAACTTTGCCAGCATAGCAGAAATGAAACAAAGACAGCTTCCCCTGCCAAGGTATGCCAAGAATGTGTAACACAGCACATTTCATGTTCACAATGTTCTCCTCTTCTGGTGTATAAAACTTTATTTACTGTATTTTTGTGCTTTTTTTTTTTGGCATTTGCTAAAAATCAGCCAATGCCAATTCTTAAGGCATTGGCTGTGGTACATTTTTCCTCTGTTGGTATTGTCAGATTAACCTTTTACATTTGCATAGTTCAATGTTCATATTGGTTGATTGATAGACTTTTAGGTCACTCTGACAGAGTTCTGCTTAAAATATTATCAATGCTATACATATTTTCAAATTAACATTTTTGATTTAAAATGGTACATCTAAAACTGCCCCAAAATTTTCATTATTTTGTGAATAAGTATAGTTTACAAATTGTACAAAGAAACATGTTCAGTTTTCTTTAGGGGCGCACCGATTACCGACCTTTTAAAAAGCTTAGCCTGCCGATTCCAATTTTGGCTGATACTAATCTTTTTTTGTCTGAAATGTTCCTCAATATACAAAGAACGTTGTTGAGTTGGAAATAGTGGGGTCACTGTTGTTAATTGTAAATGTGAGAATGTAACTTTGTAGGTCAGTCTGTTAGTCAAATCTTTCTCACCGGAGAGCAAAAGAGGACAGTGTTTGATTCTTACACATTTGCCAAGCTCGATAAGATCGGCTTCTTATGTAAATCGGCCAATCACCGATCTCCCAAAATTAAGGAAATCAGTGGACCCCTAGTTTTCTTTCAGTGTTATAAATATTTTTATGTATTGGTGGTTTTCCAAATTAAAATAATAGACAATCTGTACTAAATATATTTTTTATAACTTTCCTCTGAAGGCAGTCATTTAAGGAAATGGGCATCGTTGTGGAAATGAAACACTTCATTCAAATATGATTGTGATATCACAGAGAGAAGCAAAATAAAGAATCTAAATGCAATGCTTTAACACTTTGAAGTGTCTAAAGAAGATGAACATATGTCTTAAGGTTTCACATTAGGTCTTTCCAACAGATAAAATTTAAGCCTTATGTTTCTACTGTGAAGTCTTATTTTGGGCATAATATGAACTGTATTATTTGAATGACTTCACTTTGTGTTTTCTAGGTCTTCCTGAGCAATATTACAGTTTGACCTGGTTTCTCAGTCCCATCCTGGGTCTTTTGTTCACCCCCCTGATTGGCTCAGCCAGTGACCGCTGCACTCTGCGATGGGGCCGGAGGAGACCATTCATTCTGGTTCTTTGCACAGGAGTGCTAATTGGTGTGGCATTATTTTTAAACGGATCATTGATTGGTAAGACAGAGTCTCAGATGGAGTCACCCCTCTGCAAGGATTACAGTTCTTACAGCTTAATCCACTTTGTATTTATTTTGTTTTTTTGTTTCAGGCCTTTCTATTGGTGACAACCCAAACAGCAAGCAGCAGCCAATTGGTATTGTTCTTACTGTTGTTGGTGTTGTGGTGCTGGACTTCTGCGCTGATGCCTCTGAGGGACCAATCAGGGCTTACCTTCTTGACGTTGCTGATGCTGATGAGCAAGACATGGCTCTGAATATACATGGCTTGTCTGCTGGTAAGTCGCACGTTTACATTTCACTATTTTTGGTATTATTGGTGACATCTACTATAAACACCTAGTATGTAGAATTTGTGACATTAAATGACATTAACTTTGAAAATGAAAATGACATAAGTTTATAAGTGATATTAAACGTTTTCTTTAAAAAAAAAAGTACTATAAATAGAAGTAGTACTTGAAGTTACTCTAACAAAACATTTAATGTTTCGGGAAATTGAAGGGAAAAATAGCACAGTTTATGAGCCACAAATAACTAAACAAAAAAAATCAGTGGTGGTCATTTTGTGCAGAAATTGCATGAACACACTTCAAACTGCCAAAACTTGCCTTTTTATAAATGGCTTTATTAAAAGTGCTCAGTTTGGGTTGCAAAAATCTAGGCCCTAAAATTAAAAAGAAATACATGAAAGTTAATCAAATTTTGCATGATGATGTTAAAAACATTATAGTGGTCTGAATTACAGCTGAAATGATAAACCAGATTAACTGTGATGAACCAATTACTGAAATAATTGTCAACTAATTTAGTAATTATTAATTGGAGTATACAGACACAAAAAGGGCTATTTGCTGAAAGAATGCCACACTCAATAATTAAGATATAAAACCTTTGTCTGAAAATGTGTTCTACCCAAAACTCCTCAAGGTTTGAATTCTGCAAAATAAATAGAAATATTTTTAAAAAATAAACTAAGCACCCATTTTTATTAATTATTAATGGGTTAATACAAAAACTAGTCACAGATTAGCCAAACTTGATAAGTCGAGAGACCAGAGCTTTTCACTTGTTGATGTTAGAAGCATTTGTTTAGCTGCAGATGTCTTTTGACATAAATCATCAAATGCTAACTAAAGGAATTGATTAAATGTTTATTTTCTTATTTGAAAAATTTATTTGCATTTTTTTAAATGTGTTTCTAATATAAAAGAGCTTATGTGAAAAGGGTATATATATATTGTCGAAATAATTGATAGAATAACCAATTACTAAAAGAATCATTAGTTGCAGCTTTAGTTTGAATAATATTGGAAGGCCAAACGTTTTGAATATTAAGATTATGTAGAATATTTAATTGCTTTTTAATGTAATATGTCGGCATGAAGAAATCTGAGTGTGAATTTAAGTGACATTTTTATTTCAGGAATCTTTACTGTGCCTTTTCTGGTTTTCCAGGACTTGGTGGAGCAGTTGGCTACATGTTGGGAGGCCTTGACTGGACCGGCACTGCTCTGGGTAGAGCATTTAAGTCACAGGAACAGGTCCTCTTTCTTTTTGCTGGGGTTATCTTTATTATTTCTGTAACACTGCATATGCTCAGTATCCCTGAGAGGACATTTGCTTCAGTCAACCAACTGAAAGATGGAGAAGATGATGAGTCCACCAGTCAGTTGTCTGTAAAACTGCCTGTCTGCACACGACCTTGTCTCATTGCAATTGCAGAGGAAGATGTTTTTGCACCATCCTCTTGCCAAGAAGAGAAAGAAACGAATCCCGAGGAAGCAGAAATGGATTTCCTTGCTGTGGACAGAGTTCGGAGTAAAAGTGATTCAATCCTAGCCATGCCAGATGCTACAATTGAGTTAGACTCTGACCTTCACCTAGACAGGCAGATTTTCTTGCCTGAAATGCCTTCATCACCAGAAGATCTGGACAATGCCTTTAAGCCATCAGGTCTGGAGTTGTCATCTCCTACTAATGACCCCACCTCTCAGACTAATGGGGGAGTGTTTGTAGAGCCTACAAATACAGATGTGCCTCAAATAAAGGATCCAACAAATGGCCAGCTTTCTGTCCCTCAGGCCATTTCTGCCTCAGAGAATTCACACGTACAATGGGTAAGATCATCCACTGTGAATACAAATGTTATTTATTTTGACTTAAAATCAGTTTTAGAACATAGCTAATCTTGTAAATTGTCTGTATGCACTTAACTTTGGTATGTATGACTGCCTAGACAGAAAACGCACGTGCTTGCAAAGTGTAGAAACCTGTGACATTTGTTTGGATTTTTAATTGGTACCTCTGCATCTCTCTTCTTTTAGCATGAGCTCTCTGCTAATGGCACCAGTGCTGTTTTGCCTTCCTCTCGAGCCTTGAATACAGGTAAAGGCCACACCTCCACCAAACCAGGGACCCGCACTGGCAACACTCCGGTCTCATCACGGCAACATCCAACAACCTTCTACCGACAGGTAGACTTATTTTATTTATTTCATTTATTTTCTCCGATTTATTTAAGGAATTTAATTTATTCTTGCATAATGACAGTTACTACAATATCTAATTTGCCTTTGGGAATAATCATGATTGACACTGGTTCTTTCTTCATCTTTAGCCCTCCTTTACATTTTCATACTATGGTCGAGTGGCATTACAACGCTATAGACTGAAACGCACAAGACTCACAGGCCCTCGGCCAATCACCACCTCCCGTAGTCTGACTGATCTGCGAGGCATCCGGGGACCTGTGCACAGAAGAAAGAGGCAGCTGTCTGCAAGTAGCCTTTCATCTGAAGGCTCCAGCAGTGTTGGAGAAATGGAGAGGGGTACAACTGTGAAGCTTCTTTGGCTATCCATGTTCAAGGTGAACTAAACTTTGTACTATTGTACTTAGTACAGGGTTACCTATACAAAATTTGAGGGAATCTTGTGGTTGTACATTAAAGGAACCTGTCTCGTGGAGAAGTCGGTGCTTAAAAGGGGTCTGAAAAGCTTTTGAATTGAGATGAGTACGAACAATGCATAGAAAGGAAATAAGAGCGCACAGGTTGTTCGTTCGTTCATTCATTCATTCATCTATCTATTCTTGCATTTGTACATTCTTTGATGTATTGAATCATTAACTTTCCACCATCTATTTGGTTTTCCAATCCATTATTTCCGATTAATACAGGTTCCGAATTAAAAGCCAGATCATCAGTAATGCTTTTCACTTATTTACACTAAAGTTTTGTTTTTAAATCTTTAAAAATTGGCATGAAAATTTGAGCTCACAAAATGTAAAAACTGATTTAAACTTTAGTCTAATTGTCACTCTTTTTATTTCCCTGTTCTGCAGATGCCAAAGCAGCTCTGGAGACTGTGTGTATGTCACCTCCTTACATGGTTCTCCATTATAGCTGAAGCCGTGTTTTACACTGATTTCATGGGTCAGGTCATTTTTCATGGAAATCCTAAGGTAAAGGCATATGTCTTTTTGGTCTATTTCAAATAGGATATTGAAATTGTGCGTCACATATTATTATTATTCATTTATGTTCCATTCAAGCTGTGCAGTCTCTTTGTCTTGCATTAAAGCCTGTGTTCTGCTTTCGTCAGGCACCAGGCAATTCCACAGAGCTCCAAGATTATCACAGAGGAGTACAGATGGGGTGCTGGGGGTTGGTGGTGTATGCTGCAACTGCTGCTGTCTGCTCTGGTAAAACACAAACCCTGTTTTTCATCTTGAGAGTACTTAGCACTGAGCAAGCTACCAAATTACACAAAAGGAAGTTGCAGAGAATACAGTTAAGCTTCCTTTTTTGTCCCTTTAATGTGTTGAATAACCAAAAACCTCTCCCCTGTTTCAGCCATTCTGCAGAAGTCTTTGGATAAATTTGATCTGAGTATTAGGGTCATCTACGTTGTGGGAACTTTGGGATTCTCAATAGGTAAGTCAAATGGGCTGCATAGTTTCATGTGATGCTTCAAACTTCTATTTGTGTTCATTCAAAATCCTTCAATTTTTGCTAAAGTTCTGAATTGGACTATAGAGCATCCACTTTTTTAAGTACAACATTTTGACAAGATTGCTGCAACAATTACAGGTATATTGTTCTATTCATTAGCAAAGGTTACTTAGCATAACCATTATCAGATTCCACTGTTGAGTTGGAACTCGACATTGATTGGGTTGGGTTTGACATGGTGTTTGATGATTGAATGATCTAATAGTTTCTCAAAGAGACGCATGAAATAATCATGTTGACATTCTCACTTATTTTGTATTTAACCCATTTTTAAAGTCTTCCTAAATTTTGCTGTATTACATTATTATTAGGAACTGACATCGTTATTACATTGTGTTTTTCTTTCTTTAGGAACTGCAATTATGGCATTATTCCCTAATGTTTATGTTGCCATGGTGATGATCAGTACCATGGGAATCATCTCCATGAGTATTTCATACTGTCCCTACGCTTTACTTGGACAGTACCATGAAATCAAAGAAGTAAGATCAGAAACAAGTTCACCACACGTTGTTTTGATTCTACATTTTAAAAAGCAAATGTAAAATATTTCACTTGCTGTTTTAGTTTCAACCTAAAAACTCAGTGGATTTACTTTTGTTTTGAAATAAAACAAGATTTTTTTTCTTTAAAGATTGGCAAGGCAATTTTTTTTTCCTATGGCACGTATCAGCAACGTAGCAATTCAAATTACACAATTAAAAAGAAAATGAAACAACAGGCAAGGCATTATGTTGCTGTGAGAGGTTAAAAACAAACTGCATGTCTGCATGAGTTGCTTTCCATGTTATTAATGGAAACCAACTGTAAACAATTGGGTTTTATCACTTGATTTGAAGGAACTGAACTCAGTTTCAGAATTTTTGCAGTTTTCTTCAAGATTGTTTCAGTATACAGGAGCATAAATGCTGAATGCCGCTTTCATGTTTGGTTTCAATTCTGGTGTTGTAGACTTTAATCATAAGACTCAAGTGACCTCGTAGATTGATACAATGACAACAGATCTTTAATGTTTCTTGGTACTAAGCCATTCAGTGATTTATAAAAGTACTGTAAAGTATATTCTCTGACATGCAGGAAGCCAATGTAAGGATGTCAGATAAATATTGACCATTTTTATTTTGTTCTTTCTCAGTATATTAACCATAGTCCAGCTGACACTCGAAGAGGCTTTGGTATAGACTGTGCTATACTAACCTGCCAGGCAAGTCCAGTTTTTACTTTCACTTAAAATGATCAGAATTTAAAATAAAGATTTTGCTCTTACAGTTCTTAATCTGTGATGTTGTGATTTTATTTCATTTCCAGGTCTACATCAGTCAAATTTTGGTTGCATCAGCTCTTGGATCTGTAGTTGAGGCTGTCGATAGCGTACGTGTCATTCCAGTTGTTGCCTCCGGGGGCTCCTTCCTTGGATTCCTCACCGCTTGTTTCCTAGTAATTTATCCTGACCCAGAGCCAAGTAGTTCTGTAGATTATTAGGACTCTGATGTTCTACTGGAGAAGAGGATCAGAATAGTAAAAGGATCAGAATAGCAACTAGAGATGAGCTCTGCTCAACCTCACAGATCAGACCAGAGAAGACGCTGTTGCCTAAGGGTAGAAAAGGACTACCATGATGGATTAACTCAACAACCAAAAACTGCATCATGAGTAAATTATACCAAACCTTGCTGGTGTGCATATGTGATGAGCTGTACCATGTGTAGCAGAAAAAAAAAACAAAGAAGGAAAACATGACTGAACAATGATATTCCATCTAGTAAAAACGTAGATCACTAATGTAATCTAAATGTGAATTGGAGGAGATTGTATATTAACAATGCCTGCTTGTGCTGCTCTGTTTGTGGAGTTGCTACCTCAACACTAAGAAAAATAATGTTTAGCCAGTTCATCACAACAACCAAGACTAAGCTTGAGCTGCTGGTAAAGCTGTTGAAATTTATTTAGTTCAGACTACTGGAAGCACAAAGCACTTTGATTTTTTTTTAGCAGTGCTGCCACTCGGATGGTGCCAAATATCACCAATATGTCACATTGCTGCTGCTTCTAAACTGCCAAATGGACAATCATAATGCTGTAGAAGGGATACTTGGTGCAACCGGCATATTTTTAGATTAAATACAAATGTGTATATATATATTCCACTTTTTGGTGGACTTCATGACATTTCACTGCCATTTTACAAAGCCAAAAAATGTCAAAAGGTACAAAGCTCTTGAGTTTATTCTAGTTGCATAGGTGTTATACAATCAAACATAGGATTTTTCTTTACTTACACTATAGTTAATAAATGTGTCCATAATGGTTCATTCTAGCAACATATTTCAGCCTCAAGAGAGTTATTTCCAGTTTTTAAATCAAATTTGTGATGATTAAAAGTTTATCTCTCAGGGTATTTTGTAAAACAAATTGTGACTGCTGGGCTATTTTGAACAGTTTGGATAGAAAATCAAATGTTTAATGTCGATTTCAAATCTGTGAAGCGCATTCTTGAATATAAGCAGGAAGGAAGTTGAGAATTGGAGACGAGTAGGGACTTATTGAAGTTGTATCTTTGTGCCTTTCCTTGAAAGCAAATTGACCTTTACCCTGTTGTGCATGCTTATGAGGTAAACTGTAAATCTGTCCTCTGTTAGAGAGCTACACCAGGGAATACATTGCTCCAGAATAATGAGTAAGAAAGTTTAAAAAAAAAAAGAAAAAAAAGTGCACAATTACACAGAAAGCATGTCTGGTATTTGGGGCAGATTAAGCTTCCAAAGTGCATTTAATAGTTGTGGAGCTACAGCAGAATGTCATTATGTGGTGTGAATTCAGAAAGCAGATTTTTAAAGCCTGATGTAGCGTTTGTGTCATTTGTAACATCCCAATCATCTGTGCTGAAGGATCACTTTGGATGGCTCATTTGCAAAATTTAAAGTATCATTATTACTCAGCTCAGGAGGAACATCAGACCTGTCTTATGATGTTGAAGGGTTTTCTGTTTTTCTGTTACCTTCTGTTGCAGGAGTTTACTGTGCTCCCCAAATGTATCATCTTTGTCTTGTTTTCTGGCAGTGTCAGCATGTTGAAGGAAATAATCAGAAATGAAACTGAGGAAATTTCTTTGTAACTTCAAACAAATGCCATACACCTGTTTTCAGATGCTTTTTTCCCCCCAGTCGGCTCAAAACTAATAGTGATGAACATTTCAGAAACACTTTTTTCCTACTTGGGTTATATCACACCTTTGTCAAAAGTAAAAAATTCTTAGTAGCTTATCAGTAACAGAAACTGGGACTTAAATTTTCTTTAATCTGAGAAAACGGAGCAATGTGTTGAATGCTTTTAGTTTAGTTCAATTATTGATTTTTTCCAAATATTTTTTTCATATTGCCTTAGACCTCCCATATTAGGAGGTCTTGCATTGTATATGTAGTAGTTATTTTTTGACATGGTTTGTATTTTTTTTTTATCTAACAAATGAGCACATTGTGTGTTCTCTAAGACAAATTTTTGGTTCTGTGTGTTTGTGTACAGAATTTTGTAAATTGTCCTGTTAATTGGAGATTAATGGGGAACATCTGTCATCAGAAATGAATCCAACAGTGGTCCGGTTAATTCTTGAGTTTCTGTTACACCAGAACTCAGACGGAGAAAAATATGGGGCAAAATAAATTTTACAATTTTCAAAAAATATCTTAACATTTCTGACTCCATAAGTTAAAGCTGTTCCAAATCTTTTTTTTTTTTTTTTTCTCCATTTACATTTTTTTTTTTTTTTTTTTTTGTATTTTAGATTTTTATAGTGCAAATGATCGAACTTTGTTTTTAATTTAAGAATTGGATGCAAAACCTTTGATTTGTCATGGATTTTCTTTCATCTCGTCAGGTCAAACTTGTGCATGCAAACTCAAACATATGGCTAAACATCCCTCAGCCAGTCGCAGAGAAACGTAGTAATTTTTTGTAGCCATAAATGAAGTAGTCTAATTCTGACCAAACTTTTCACGACTCTGGCTTTTACCTGCATGTTCTAACTGTTCATCAGAAAGTTTTAGACCAAAAACTGATTTGCGTAAAAAGAATATTTCTTCGTGGCTTGCTTCTATGTCATGAAATGCTTTGTTTGATTTTCAGCGTGTTCACATTTTATTCACTTAATAGAAAGTGACCAGTTCAAATGTAATTGATAAACTGTCGCCATCTACAGGCCACATTCAGTCAGTACAGCCAGCTGTTTCGATAAATCATCAACACGGGGATCTTGAGGCTGTAAAATGATTTATGACGTGAAACGTCAAATAAGTACTATATTTTGCAGCACTAACGTAATACGTATTATTATACATGTCTTATAAGTGTTCCCTTTCTAATAATTTACAGACATAGGATTTTCTGTAGTTTGGCGAAAGGCGTTGTTTGTTTTCAATATACGGCGCCATAAAGCGTCACTCACCTCACTTGACTGATTGACATGCATGTTTGCGTTTTCTCGGGGGAACAGGAAGCAGGCTGTAGGAAACTGAGCCGAGCTTCTCATGCAGGGTTCACCGCGGCTCGGAGTTGTTCTGGAGGTGCCGTCAAGAATATGAGGAGGCAGAATTAAGAAACAAGGAAAAAAAGCGTGGGAGACGGTATGTAACACTGAAACGACATTAGCGAGGTAAGGGGCATGAGGAAACGCATTTAGAAACTGCCTTGCAGGTAAACGGGTACCTGATCAGCTGTGCAGCGTGACAGTCATGTGCAGCGACATCAATAAAAACCTTTTTGATTTTTTTAAACTAGCAAAGAAACTTTTTAAGAAATAAACTAGACTCAACGACTTGTCAATGGTGTCTTTGTACACTTATTTTGCTCTTGTTTTTTATTTAGTCTCCTATAGGACCAGTGTTTCTCTACTATGGATTTCACTGGCCATTCTATCACTCGCATCGATGTTTTTGTTTTCAATGATTTGGATGCAAAGATCCATGTGTTTCCGAGAGCTTTTATGTATTTACTTTAAATTGTATTGTTAAAGGCACCTCTATTTAAAGACTATTAGAAATCAAAAGTCTGATTCACTGCTACCATGAACAGTGGATCAGATTGTTCAGACTGATGAAACACTGCATTATTCCTGGAAAGCAGAATGACGATGGCAGCCATGGTCTTCAATTCATACCACCCTGCATGTTTCTTCATGAACACACCTGATTCAGTTATTTGCAGTTCAACAAAAGCCTGTAAATAAGCTAGCAACTGAAGTCATGTTTGCTGAAACAGTCAAACATCACAAACAAGCAGTGTGGTGTGTTTTAATGAACAGGGTTGGGGGAAGACTGAATAGTGCAGCCTGTTACTGCTGCCGCAAAACATTACCATAGCACAAGGGTGCCCAAAGTTGGTCCTCAAGGACCAGCATCCTGCATGTTTTACTTCTCTCCCTGCTGGTAGTAATAACATTTCCAGCATGTCAATGTTCTTCTTAAACCTTCTAAAGAGCCATTATTGGATCCATGTGAGTTAAACCAGGGAGAGAATTAAAATATGCGGGATGCCAGCCCTCCAGGACCGACTTTGGTCACCACTGCCATAGCATGATGCTGTCACCACCACGTTTAACTGGACAGATGGTATTGTGTGATAATGAACTCTGTTTCCTCCAAATGTGACGCCTGACATCCACACCAGAGTTTCTTCATCTTTGTTTTTACATGATCTAGTCATCAGCATCTTGGCTGTTTTAGAGGTTGAAATGTTTGAAATTGGACCAGGATTGACATTTTAGAAGATTAAAAAGTTGCTGTTTTTGAAGGATAATTTAGTGAATTTTTCGGATCTCTAAAATGTGACTATTAATGATGTCCAGCTTTTCTTTTCTATTTTCTAGTCACAGTTAGTGACTGAAACCTATTCAGTAGACTATAGAAATGAGGACAATTTTTTAATAAGTTGTATATTTTGCAGCAGTTGCATGTAGAACAAATATATTTTTCACACCATTTATTCTGTTGCTGTAAATTGAATTAAAGGTCCTATTCTGGTTCTGGAAAGTTCTAAATATAATAAGGTCCAAGAGGTCAATTCTACTCTGGATTAGTTCACTGATGGGAACATAAAATCATGTGACATGAGGGTTTTTGCCATATGATTAGCAAGAAAATGTTGATTCCACACAGCATAATGTGTGACGAGTAATGATAAAAGATTTTGTCACAGTTTGGGTTTTTTATAGCAACCAGTAGAAAATTTTATTTTTACACTCTTTTTGTTTATATGACTTAATTTTCTTTTAATATCACTCGTTTCACATTTGATCCATTTGATTATAATCTTTTGTTTTCCCAGTGATGACTGACTGTTTGCTGCCAACTTTACTGGAAGCCTGTGTGGTGGTCGGAGTGTCCAGTGAAAAACTTCAGGAAATCTACCAGGTTTCTGTGTCTAAATTTAGTTTATTCAACTGCCTTTTGCAGTGTCGCTATCAAACTTGGGGTGACATCGTTCTTATTTTGTTGAAATAGAGGTTAACTGTTGTTGCATGTTTATAAATTTGACCACATTGGAAAAATATGTGAGTATGTTAATGACAGATAACCAATTTTTACAGAAAATAGCAAAGGTTTAATGGATGAAACGGCATAATGGATACAGGAGGACAAATTAAACAACTGCCATAAAATCAATCAGCTTAACATACAATCATGGAATCGATGGTCTAATAATTGGTGGATAGATTATGCCAAAAGTATATTTTATATTCTCAATGCATGCATAAATGTTAATGCAGTATGTTTTTCCTCTGTCTTATTCAGGCTGGTAACAGCAGTGTAAGCTCTGAGTCTCTCCTGTTGGAGCCGGAGATTCTTCATGTTCTGGCTCCTCCTTTCCATAGCAGGTCAGCTGAGAATGAGACATCAAAGTTGCATGGAAAAAGACACCACTCGTTTCTCAGAAAGAAGAAAGAGCATTCTTCTTCAGGTAAAAATAAAAACAAAACAAACAAACAAACAAACAAAAAAAACAACCAGTCAAGATTTGATGCATACAACGCAACACTAATCATTTCTAAAGAATCATGTCTCCTACATTCTTCAGGTCCCTCTTATTACTTTATTTTAATGGTTGTGCTATTTTGTGGATTATTTTAAGTTTTATTATTTTACAAATTTACATCTTTCCAGATCAAAGTGCATCAGAGAAAAAAGGAGGAAGCAAAGATGTGGGTCTACCAAAAAATATCGACCTCATGGCATTGCCACAGCTCTGTTTTCCTGGTGAAGCATTTTTATTTTCTCGACTTATACACAAACGCAAAAACAATGCCCTGATTACGAGGCAATCCTTCTTCATGCAGAGTACTAACTATTGTAATGTCAATAAAGCACTTAGAGCAGCAATATTAGAGTAAATACTTGCATATATTTTTTGAACATGCTGTGTGTGCTAATGACCTGACCTATGTTTAAGTATGGAACAAAATTAAAGTTGCGTAATTTAGCTCTATTTTAATGTACTTCAAACATAGAAATAGATTTCTTATCCCAAAAAAAAAGTATTATGATAGCTAACTATTACAAAATCACTTGTAAACCAATAAAAAAGATAAATGGTAATTCATTGTCATGTCCACATTTAGAGAATTTCTGGCATGTACTTGCAAATGTAAAAATGAATTGAGCATAAGCATATTTCATTAATCAATTGGTTTATTATGCGAATGGCCTGCCATAAAATACTGGTTCTGAACTTTTAAATTTCTTCATCATTTTTACTGTTGAAGATAACCTTTGCTTTCAGTCAACAGCTGATTTACATAGTTCTGCTGGAGGAACTGGTGATTGTAATGTCTGTCCCACAGAGGAACTGAAATTGATTGTAGTTCTCTCTCACAATGGTCTTGTATTTTTTTGTTTTAGTTTGTATTTAAGAAGAGACTAAACAAAGCTGATCCATTCATGTGATGTATGACTAAAACACCAGCAATTACGCCCAAAAATCTAAAACGTTCCTTCGAACTTTTTGAAAGAACAAAAAGCAACTCCTGGAATCATAGGGGAAAAGTTTTGAATCCCAAATTCAGTTTTTTATCTGTATAATGTCTTGTAGAAGTCTTACTCAATTAAAATCTGTGCTTTGAGTGAGGGGATCACATATGCAGAATGTAATATTAAGATGCTGTATGTTTTTGTTTTTATCCCCAGGCGGTGTGCTGGTCACTGGGGAGGAGAAAGAGGAACAGTTCCACTTCCTGGTTTTTACCGACATCTTTGGCAACAAGACTCATGGGGTAGTGATGCAGTACTATCGATCAATCCTGGTACGCTGAGCAGCACGCAATATTTCAGTAATAATAGAGCAACATAATTTCTGAAAACTCTAAAACAGGAAATGTTATCATGCTCAATAAATATCTATAACTAATCAACATCCTCAATCAATGGGAATTAAGAAATGTTGTCTTTGAAACCATCAACATAATTTAAGATAATAATATAGAATTAAAATTGGGATCTGAAATGAAAACTAATACATTTTAAATTTCTTCTATTTTCCATCAAAGGAAGGGACGACTGGTTATCAGCATGGAGCTGGATCTTTAAAGTTCTCTAAATGTTTCTCTGCTGTCGGTGTTTGTGTCATATCCAAGTATCCTTATTTCACTGCCCTCAAAGACTGCCTGTCATGGTGAGAAACTGAAAAACCTGAAGCATATGACATTGCTGA